GACTGTCTTGGCACGACAGGTGTCTCACTTGCCTCTATACTTGTTGTAGGTGCAGCTAGCGCTGTCAGAAGGTCATCTTCACTTTGATGCTGTATGATAACTTGAGGCTTCAGAATGTCAAGCCAATTTCCCCATCGGTTCCAAAAAGAGCAGCCCTTGTCTCATTGACTTCATATCTATGAGGGGGCAAGGGTGGCTCAGCCCTCAGAGGCGCCAGGATTGCTGTGCAAAGTTGCGTCCCTTGGGCAAGCCAGAAACCTATGATTGTGGGTTCGAATCCAAGTTTGCCCCGATTATGTTTCTAGGTTTGTCAGCATCATACCCATTCTCGTGGGTTTCATCGAAGTGACACCTGCATTGTTTCGGGCTTTCCTCCCAGATTAAGCTGACATGCCGTGATATAACTGGAATACTGTAAAAAGCAGTGTTAAACCCAACTCACTCACTCCTATCTATGATATCTATATGAGCTCTACAGCTGAAGGCTTTGGTGACTTTTGTTGATGGCACACACAGATGTGTGACTTTTGCTTACTTCTTGCTGACTTCCTTCATCATCGTCAGAGGTATATTCAATGGAAATGTGATGGAACACGTCTTTTATATCTTGAATGTGTTGTTACAATATATTTGTAATTAGTTTTCACTTTGATGCAACATTGTTTGATCATAAAATAAGTAATCGTTCCAACAACCAGGTTTTAAACAACAATTAGTTATCTCTTTGATGTAACATTGTTTTAGTTACACTGATAATTTCTTGATTACACTTTCTTCCTAGTAAGACTTGATTACACTTTCTTCTTCATAATAATAATGAATAAATACAGATTATATTTACATAGGGCTTTGTTCCAACATTTGCTCAAAGGTGCTTAGTCCAAGGCTCTACAGAAGAGAACTGTTTTGAGATGTTGTTTGAAGGTTGGGAAGTCTGAGATGCTTTGAATGTGACTTGGAAGTCCATTCCACAGTAGTGGTCCATCTTTGGCAAAAGATATATCTCAGTAGTTAGCCGTGTGGTTTAATGGCACGGTGACTAGTCCTGTGTGTCATCTGGGTAGACATGAAAAGTCTAGATTGTTCTTTTTGGCAATATCTCCTACAGGCAATGTATACACGGTGAACAATGCCTGTCCAAAGACTGAAGACTGCCCATATGCTAGTTGATGTTTCTCAGATCTGAAACCATCAATGAAAACAGACTCATTGCGATCTGTGAGATAGGATTTGAACCAGACAAGGGCATCATCTTTGATTCCAATTCTTGACTCTAATAGTGACAGAAGAATGGAATGGTGTATGGTTTCCAACACTGCGGACAGGTCAGGTGCAGCCAATATGGCACCCTGACAACCCACAGCATCGAGAAGATCATTCTTCAGCTTGCAAAGAGCAGACTCTGTGCTATGTCCATATTTGTAGTTAGATTGCAGGACTTCACTCCAAGTCTTTCGTGTGATCATGGAGACGAGATGCCACAGCTCTTTCAATTACATTTGAAAAGAATGTCAGATTTGATACAGAACGATAGTTCTTGTGATTATCAGGATACAGTCTTGACCTCTTTGAGTAAGGGGTTATGAGAACTTATTTTAGATCAGATGGGAATGCAAAACTTGAAAATGACTGGTTGGCTGCTTTTATGAAGGCATAACTTGATCTGGGCACAGTTTTAGCAGCCATGAGAGAATAGGATTCAAGGAACATGATCTCAGAAACTCATTTAACATTGTTACATTGTCTCGTATATAGATACTATTATGGATAATTCTTGTTATTATTGTTGCTGTAGCTAATCTTTTTACAGCTAACCCAGTGAACATGAAAGAGCAAGCGACTACATTTCTATCTCTGTCATTACAAAACTTATGACCGGGGATTTATTTAAGATTCTTGACAAAGTGATTATGACAGGCAACTAACAGGCAAAATTGGAATTTTACCAAAACATATCATACTTTCTTAAGATAAAAGGTATTTTGAAATTGCATTTAATGCAATAATATATAATGAAGCATCAAAACATGTTCCCATTTATTGGTTTTGTTACTTCTACAAAGCCACACAAATAGTTATTAGTTATATGTATAAATACATTGAAACCTTGGGAAATATTTAGTTCCAAACTGGAACTTCTTAAGAAACATTTGCTGTAGACATGGGGTCGAATATCGGCTTCTGGGCAGGTCAAGATAAATACCTGATGACAAACTAATTGTTAACTATGTAAAATAAATTTCATTGAATATTTCACCTGATGTAACTGCGCTGGCACCAAGAAATGTTTTGGGGAATACACTTCTTTAATAAAGCAACAAAACACTTTCCACATCCAATAGAAATCTCTGCATAAAGCAGAGTCGATTGTACAATTCCGACTACATCATGAGCATGTGTTTATTAATCACTATCAAATAGTAATGATACCAGGTGTTCGCGAGAAGGTGAGGGTATCTTGCCACACTGGTGTCACCCATCACAAACACATGCACAGGCAAGTCAGTTGTTCACCTGAAAAAGCATGGGAACATATGGTACAAGTCAAAATAGGGAATTGCATCGGACATCATTTTTGTCACTGATGCGTCAAATTTGGAAACATCCTCCACATGTCTACCATAAAAAACTTTTGAAAGCTTTACTGAGGCCTTGAATGTTGTAACCTTGATCAAACAACTTCTGAGCAAGAGTCTTGGTAGAAAGAGCATGCTCAATTGTATCTCAAAAGTTGTTAAATGTAAACACCAAAGGCTGGAGCTGTTGGAATATTGCTTGACATGAAGGGGAAGCTGACTATTGGAGTGAGTGAGTGAGTGAGTTTGGTTTAACGCTGCTTTTAACAGTATTCCAGATTTATCACGGCGTGTCAGCTTAATGTGAGAGGAAAGCTCGAAGTGATGCAGTTCTCAGACGTTTACACCTTCGGTGAAACCAACGAGCACGGGTATGGTGCTGACATACCTACAAACATAATCGGGGCGAACCAGGATTCGAAACCTAAGACGACTGGGCCACCCGTGGCCCCCTGACTATTGGAAAGTTGAACTCATCCCTCTTGCTATACAGGCTTGTGGAGAGTTTCTTGTCACTTTGAATTTTTATGCATAGATCTAAATATGGAACTGGTCTCCTTTATTTCTAGTTCAGGTGGGTAAATCGGTGGAAGGGATTTGGCTATTTGCTTGTTATTGAACGATATCAGATCATCGATATACCTGAAACTTAGGTTAAACTTCTTGGCCAAATTACCTTGTTTTGACTTTGCCAATCCGAACAGAAATTCTGATTCATATGCATAAAGAAAGAGATCCGCAAGAAGGGGAGCACAATTGGTGCCCATGAGGATGCCTACTTCTTGGCTAAATGTCTTACCCCCAAATTTTACATAGATGTTATCAATGAGGAAGTCCAGCATTTCACATATTGTTTTCTCAGTGAACTTCAGATTGAAAAGTCTGAATTGTCCTGAACCTCTGAATAAAGATATGTAACTGTATGTGTTCACCACGTTTTGTAACAAAAGCCCTATGGATCAAGGAATGAAGTTTTCCCTTAAGTTGTCATGTGGGATAGTTGTGTGCAAAGTTGAAAAATCAAATGTTTTGACAGAATGGAACTTGGTTCTTTTCTGAGATTGCAAAAAGTCAAGCAAATCCTTTGAGTTTTTTAAAACACTTCTTTTTGGAATGTGGAATATGATTCAGGGGCAAGAAAAGTGAAAAAAAGGATTGCGATTGTCAACTTTCCTAAATACATTAATTTCCGAGCAAGAAAAATTTATAATATTCGTAGAAAATATTTAAATATCCAAGTGAAAGTGCTGAAATCACACACACCATAATCTGCTCCCAAATCAAACCTATTTGGGGGTTTGGGCTAAACCAACTGTTTTCATTGGCTGATATGTTAGTCGCGTTAATCTATGTTTATCTGTTTCTGCTATTTCTGTTAATCCTACTAAAATAACAACATAGCATACAATTTTTGAATGTGTGAAACGACCTTTGATTTTCACATTGTGAGTAATTAAAATAACAATAACAATCGGTAACACGGTAACATTACTAACATCCTTGGCCCTATTCCAAACAATAAATGCCTGTCAAATAATCCTCTGAGTAAACAACTGAAGGCATCTTCTGTGTTGTTACTAAGGTGACATAAGTTGTTGATATGGTAATCAAATGGATGAGAAGACAGCAAAAAGCCAATGTATTCCACAAGCTGAGGCAGAACCAGGCAGACTTGGAGTTGGCCCGATGGTCATGATCGTTGAAATTGCACAGCGCATCAAACACTGCAACCCATTTTAACGTCTGCCCAGTTAGCTCAAAAGTGAAATTTATGAGGATTCGTGAGGCTTGCCGACTTGGTTGATGCATGTCATCGATCCCAATTGAATTGATTGATGTTCATGATGTCAATCAATGGATTGTTTGGTCCAGACTCGATTATTTACAGACCATTGTCATATAGCTGGAATATTGCTGAGTGCGGCGTTAAACAACAAACAAACTAACAAACAAACTGAAAAGTTAAAGGATTATGTATACTCCCTGAGTGAATCAGACATAAAATATATTCCCTATATATTTTAGAGATTAGACATATTCCCTGTAACATACACTGAAACACTTTGAAATCGCATTTTAAATTTTTTGTTATATTTGACCAGAGACCATATTATATTCATGTGTTGAAACTAATATGCCAAAGGAATAATGAGCCCTTTGTAGCTAGTTCTGCATGTGCCAGCTTGTATGAAGATAATTTACTTTTGAATTCATGTCAGTTGTGAGACATGACAAGAAATGCTGGCAATGCCTCCAGGTGGGGGTGATGTTGATTGTAATCATGTGTGAAGGTCCACCTAGTCTGGCCACAAAGAGAATACTCCAGGTGTTTACAAACACTTTGGATCTACCTTCAGCCAACAACACACAAACACAAACACAAACACTCTTGGTATAGCTAAGTCACCAGATGAAAACATGTCGTTATAGGAGGGAAAACATTTATTACTTTTTTTCAGTCACTAACCCAGAATATGTGTACAAATTAAAAGATATGTTACATTTGATATGCAATTCCTATTTAAATGTACATGCTTAGAATATAGTGCATACACATTTAGTGAGTATATTAACATGGTTCATACAGTTCATTTAAGTCAGCAATTTTAAAGTCTTTTTAAGACTCTTGCACACAGAATTAAGGCCCTAATAATGAAAAGCGCAACATTTTTTTAACAGGTTTAATGACCTTAAACAAAACAGAGCTTGATAATACTTGAACCGATTAGATTCAACAAACAAAAAGAAATGTTTATTGATATTTCACATTCTAAGCAGTCAAGCAGGTAACAATGTTTTTTCCCTTGGATATGTGAAACATATTAATTAAAAAGCAAAATTGAAATATAGACTTGACGTTGACTGTTTATGGCCCTTTTCAAGCTAATTTTGCATTTAAGGCCTCTTTAAGGCCAACGTCTACATTTAAGGCCTCTTTAAGACCAACGTCTACAGTCGAGGCCTCTTTAAGGCCAACGTCTACAGTCTTACGTCTACATTCGAGGCCTTTTCAAAGCCGGTGTGAGCCTTGATTTAAATAAAATAATTCTTACGTCTAAAGGAGGTAACCAATAAATAATTATTCATGACAATGAGGTCATAGGTGTATGGAATACTAATTAGTATCATTCAATATCTAATGTAGTCCATGACAACCCACACTGTTACTACCATAACATGCACAAAGAGTGAAAGTGTTCCAAAAGGCTTCGGAGAGACCTTCCTTCATCAGTGATATGCTAGACCAAAGCACTATCACTCTCTATACTGATGAGGCGACTTCCACAGATGTCAGAGCAACACAGACAGGCGTTGGAAGTGATTGGTTGCTGTTGTAGATATTTATGCTAGTACAGTATAGCATCAGACTGGCTGCTGGAATCTCAAACTACAAAACTTACATAACTGTCTTGTCTGAGTTAGACTTTTTGACACTGTGACATAGATGGTTCTAAGGAAGTATTTATACCACATATGTTGACAACAATTCAAGAACTCTTGGCCAACAAATGTTGATAGATGAACAAGACTGGTGATGACACATGACTACATAGGGAGCCTGGCTCACACAGGCTGACTGTCTGGTTGTAGTGGCTTGTCGGTCTTTATCATGCGGGCGTCTGCTGGAATAAGGTTTGGGATGCCATTGACTATTGGGTAGGCGACACCGATATCATCACAGACAAGTTGACAGTTTCCTCTGTCATACCTGGAACAGAGAGAATTACCCATTAGAGACGTATCCACAGCAACTGGATACATAGTAACATCTTCAACGATTAATTTTTTTTAAAAGAAAACTTCTTATAAGCATGATAAGTAGCTTTGCAGTATACCTACCTCAGAGGTTTCTTAGACAGCGGACAGCATATATGCTCCAGGATGTTTTCATTAAAGCTCCCTGTCTCCTTGGCTGAGGCATCTTCTAACAAGGTCTTTGTGGTTAATAGCCACCTAGATGATGTCCGACGCCAAGAGGCTCCTCTACAACCTGAAATACTCATGTAGAAAACAAAAACATATAATGATACACGCTTAAACAGGAACCTAGCACCATGTGATACAGCCATAGACAGGAACCTGCCACCATGTGATACACCAATAGACAGGAACCTGCCACCATGTGATACACCCATAGACAGGAGCCTAACACCATGTGTTACACCCATAGACAGGAACCTAGCACCATGTGATACACCCATAGGAAGGCACCTAACACCATGTGATACACCCATAGACAGGAGCTTAACACCATGTGACACACCCATAGACAGGAACCTAGCACCATGTGATACACCCACAGACAGGAACCTAGCACCATGTGATACAGCCATAGACAGGAACCTGCCACCATGTGATACACCAATAGACAGGAGCTTAACACCATGTGATACACCCATAGACAGGAACCTAGCACCATGTGATACACCCATAGACAGGAGCTTAACACCATGTGATACACCCATAGACAGGAACCTAGCACCATGTGATACACCCATAGACAGGAGCCTAACACCATGTGATACACCCATAGACAGGAGCTTAACACCATGTGATACACCAGTAGACAGGAACCTTGCACCATGTGATACACCCACAGACAGGAACCTAGCACCATGTGATACAGCCATAGACAGGAACCTGCCACCATGTGATACACCCATAGACAGGAACCTGCCACCATGTGATACACCCACAGACAGGAACCTATCACCATGTGATACAGCCATAGACAGGAACCTGCCACCATGTGATACACCAATAGACAGGAGCCTGGCACCATGTGATACACCCATAGACAGGAGCCTGGCACCATGTGATACACCCGTAGACAGGAGTGAGTGAGTTGGGTTTAACGCCGCTTTGAACATTATTCCAGTTATATCGTGGTGTGTCAGCTTAATGTGGGAGGAAAGCCCGAAGTGATGCAGGTTTTAGATGTTTACCACTTCGGTGAAACCCACGAGCACAGGTATGGTGCTGACAAACCTAGAAACATAAATGGGGCGAACCGGGATTCGAAACCACAATCATAGGTTTCTGGCATGCCCAAGGGACGCAACTCTGCACAGCGAATCGCGGCGCCTTAGATGACTGGGCCACCCGTGCCCCCCCCCATAGACAGGAACCTAGCACCATATGATACACCCATAGACAGGAGCCTAACACCATGTGATACACCCATAGACAGGAGCTTAACACCATGTGATACACCCACAGACAGGAACCTAGCACCATGTGATACACCTATGGACAGGAACCTGCCACCATGTGATACATCCATTGACAGAAACCTGGCACCATGTGATACACCCACAGACAGGAACCTGGCACCATGTGATACACCCATAGACAGGAACCTAACACCATGTGATACACCAATAGACTGGAACCTGCCACCATGTGATACACCCATAGACAGAAACCTAACACCATGTGATACACCCATAGGCAGGCACCTAACACCATGTGATATACCCATAGACAGGAACCTGCCTCCATGTGATAAACCCATAGACAGGAACCTGGCACCATGTGATACACCCACAGACAGGAACCTGGCACCATGTGATACACCCATAGACAGGAACCTAACACCATGTGATACACCAATAGACTGGAACCTGCCACCATGTGATACACCCATAGACAGAAACCTAACACCATGTGATACACCCATAGGCAGGCACCTAACACCATGTGATATACCCATAGACAGGAACCTGCCTCCATGTGATAAACCCATAGACGGGAACCTGTCACCATGTGATACACCCATAGACAGGAACCTGTCAACATGTGATACACCCATAGACAGAAGCCTAACACCATGTGATACACCCATAGGCAGGCACCTAACACCATGTGATACACCCATAGGCAGGCACCTAACACCATGTGATATACCCATAGACAGGAACCTGCCTCCATGTGATAAACCCATAGACAGAAACCTAACACCATGTGATACACCCATAGACAGGAACCTGTCACCATGTGATACACCCATAGGCAGGCACCTAACACCATGTGATATACCCATAGACAGGAACCTGCCTCCATGTGATACACCCATAGGCAGGCACCTAACACCATGTGATATACCCATAGACGGGAACCTGCCTCCATGTGATACACCCATAGACAGGAACCTGTCACCATGTGATACACCCATAGACAGGAACCTGTCACCATGTGATACACCCACAGACAGGAACCTGCCTCCATGTGATACACCAATAGACAGGAACCTGCCAACATGTGATACACCAATAGACAGGAACCTGCCAACATGTGATACACCCATAGACAGGAACCTAACACCATGTGATACACCAATAGACAGGAACCTGCCACCATGTGATACACCCATAGACAGAAGCCTAACACCATGTGTTACACCCATAGGAAGGCACCTAACACCATGTGATACACCCATAGGCAGGCACCTAACACCATGTGATATACCCTGGACAGGAACCTGTCACCATGTGTTACACCCACAGACAGGAACCTGCCAACATGTGATACACCAATAGACAGGAACCTGCCTCCATGTGATACACCAATAGACAGGAACCTGCCACCATGTGATACACCAATAGACAGGAACCTGCCAACATGTGATACACCAATAGACAGGAACCTGCCGCCATCTGATACACCCATAGACAGGAACCTGGCACCATCTGATACACCCATAGGCAGGTATCTAGCAACATGTAATACACCCACAGACAGGAACCTGGCACCATGTGATACACCCACAAACAGGAACCTGCCACCATGTGATACACCCACAGACAGGAACCTGCCACCATGTGATACACCAGTAGAAAGGAACCTGGCACCATATGATATATCCATAGACAGGAACCTGCCACCATGTGATATACCCACAGACAGGAACCTGGCACCATGTGATACACCAATAGACAGGAACCTGGCACCATGTGATACACCCATAGACAGGAACCTAGCACCATGTGATATACCCATAGACAGGCACCTAGCACCATGTGATATACCCATAGACAGGAACCTGTCACCATGTGATACACCCACAGACAGGAACCTGCCTCCATGTGATACACCAATAGACAGGAACCTGCCAACATGTGATACACCCATAGACAGAAGCCTAACACCATGTGATACACCCATAGGCAGGCACCTAACACCATGTGATACACCCATAGGCAGGCACCTAACACCATGTGATATACCAATAGACAGGAACCTGCCAACATGTGATACACCAATAGACAGGAACCTGCCGCCATGTGATACACCCATAGACAAGAGCTTAACACCATGTGATACACCAGTAGACAGGAGCCTAACACCATGTGATACACCCATAGACAGGAACCTGCCACCATGTGATACACCAATAGACAGGAGCCTGGCACCATGTGATACACCCATAGACAGGAGCCTGGCACCATGTGATACACCTATAGACAGGAGCCTGGCACCATGTGATACACCCATAGACAGGAGCCTGGCACCATGTGATACACCCATAGACAGGAGCCTGGCACCATGTGATACACCCGTAGACAGGAGTGAGTGAGTTGGGTTTAACGCCGCTTTGAACATTATTCCAGTTATATCGCGGTGTGTCAGCTTAATGTGGGAGGAAAGCCCGAAGTGATGCAGGTTTTAGATGTTTACCACTTCGGTGAAACCCACGAGCACAGGTATGGTGCTGACAAACCTAGAAACATAAATGGGGCGAACTGGGATTCGAAACCACAATCATAGGTTTCTGGCATGCCCAAGGGACGCAACTCTGCACAGCGAATCGCGGCGCCTTAGACGACTGGGCCACCCGTGCCCCCCCCCCCATAGACAGGAACCTAGCACCATATGATACACCCATAGACAGGAGCCTAACACCATGTGATACACCAATAGACGGGAGCTTAACACCATGTGATACACCAGTAGAAAGGAACCTTGCACCATGTGATACACCCACAGACAGGAACCTAGCACCATGTGATACACCTATGGACAGGAACCTGCCACCATGTGATACATCCATTGACAGAAACCTGGCACCATGTGACACACCCACAGACAGGAACCTGGCACCATGTGATACACCCATAGACAGGAACCTAACACCATGTGATACACCAATAGACTGGAACCTGCCACCATGTGATACACCAATAGACAGAAACCTAACACCATGTGATACACCCATAGGCAGGCACCTAACACCATGTGATATACCCATAGACAGGAACCTGCCTCCATGTGATAAACCCATAGACAGAAACCTAACACCATGTGATACACCCATAGACAGCAACCTGTCACCATGTGATACACCCATAGGCAGGCACCTAACACCATGTGATATACCCATAGACAGGAACCTGCCTCCATGTGATACACCCATAGACAGGAACCTGTCACCATGTGATACACCCATAGACAGGAACCTGTCACCATGTGATACATCCACAGACAGGAACCTGCCTCCATGTGATACACCAATAGACAGGAACCTGCCAACATGTGATACACCCATAGACAAGAGCTTAACACCATGTGATACACCAGTAGACAGGAACCTGGCACCATGTGATACACCCATAGACAGGAACCTGTCACCATGTGATACATCCACAGACAGGAACCTGCCTCCATGTGATACACCAATAGACAGGAACCTGCCAACATGTGATACACCAATAGACAGAAGCCTAACACCATGTGATACACCCATAGGCAGGCACCTAACACCATGTGATACACCCATAGACAGGAACCTGCCACAGTGATACACCAATAGACAGGAACCTGCCGCCATGTGATACACCCATAGACAAGAGCTTAACACCATGTGATACACCAGTAGACAGGAACCTGGCACCATGTGATACACCCATTGACAGGAACCTGCCACCATGTGATACATCCATTGACAGGAACCTGGCACCATGTGATACATCCATAGACATGAACCTAACACCATGTGATAAACCAGTAGACAGGAACCTGCCACCATGTGATACACCCATAGGCAGGCACCTAACACCATGTGATATACCAATAGACAGGAACCTGCCACAGTGATACACCAATAGACAGGAACCTGCCGCCATGTGATACACCCATAGACAAGAGCTTAACACCATGTGATACACCAGTAGACAGGAACCTGGCACCATGTGATACACCCATTGACAGGAACCTGCCACCATGTGATACATCCATTGACAGGAACCTGGCACCATGTGATACATCCATAGACATGAACCTAACACCATGTGATAAACCAGTAGACAGGAACCTGCCACCATGTGATACACCCATAGACAGAAGCCTAACACCATGTGTTACACCCATAGGAAGGCACCTAACACCATGTGATACACCCATAGACAGGAACCTGTCACCATGTGATACACCCACAGACAGGAACTTGCCAACATGTGATACACCAATAGACAGGAACCTGCCTCCATGTGATACACCAATAGACAGGAACCTGCCAACATGTGATACACCCATAGACAGGAACCTGCCAACATGTGATACACCCATAGAAAGGAACCTAACACCATGTGATACACCAATAGACAGGAACCTGCCACCATGTGATACACCCATAGACAGGAACCTGGCACCATGTGATACACCCACAAACAGGAACCTGCCACCATGTGATACACCCACAGACAGGAACCTGCCACCATGTGATACACCAGTAGAAAGGAACCTGGCACCATATGATATACCCATAGACAGGAACCTGCCACCATGTGATATACCCACAGACAGGAACCTGGCACCATGTGATACACCAATAGATAGGAACCAGGCACCATGTGATACATCCATAGGCAGGAACCTAGCACCATGTGATATACCCATAGACAGGTACCTAGCACCATGTGATACACCCACTGACAGGAACCTGGCACCATGTGATACACCCACAGACAGGTACCTAGCACCATGTGATAGACCCATAGACAGGAACCTGGCACCATGTGATACACCCATAGACAGGAACCTGGCACCATGTGATACACCCATAGGCAGGCACCTAACACCATGTGACACCCATAGGCTGAGATCTTCCATCAAGTGATACACACATAGGCAGAGAGACCTTACATCAGGTGATACACACATAGGCAGAGAGACCTTACATCAGGTGATACACACATAGGCAGAGAGACCTTACATCAGGTGATACACTCGTAGGCAGAGAGACCTTACATCAGGTGATACACACATAGGCAGAGAGACCTTACATCAGGTGATACACATAGGCAGAGAGACCTTACATCAGGTGATACACACATAGGCAGAGAGACCTTACATCAGGTGATACACACATAGGCAGAGAGACCTTACATCAGGTGATACACATAGGCAGAGAGACCTTACATCAGGTGATACACACATAGGCAGAGAGACCTTACATCAGGTGATACACACATAGGCAGAGAGATCTTCCATCAAGTGATACACACGTATGCAGAGAGACCTTACATCAGGTGATACACACATAGGCAGAGAGACCTTACATCAGGTGATACACATAGGGAGAGACCTTACATCAGGTGATACACATAGGCAGAGAGACCTTACATCAGGTGATACACACATAGGCAGAGAGACCTTACATCAGGTGATACACACATAGGCAGAGAGACCTTACATCAGGTGATACACATAGGCAGAGAGACCTTACATCAGGTGATACACACATAGGCAGAGAGACCTTACATCAGGTGATACACACATAGGCAGAGAGATCTTCCATCAAGTGATACACACGTATGCAGAGAGACCTTACATCAGGTGATACACACATAGGCAGAGAGACCTAACATCAGGTGATCAAGCATAGGCTGAGAGACCTTACATCAAGTAATACACACATAGGCAGAGAGACCTTACATCAGGTGATACACACATAGGCAGAGAGACCTTACATCAGGTGATACACATAGGCAGAGAGACCTTACATCAGGTGATACACACGTAGGCAGAGAGACCTTACATCAAGTGATACACACATAGGCAGAGAGACCTTACATCAGGTGATACACATAGGTAGAGAGACCTTAGATCAGGTGATACACACATAGGCAGAGAGACCTTACATCAGGTGATACACACATAGGCAGAGAGACCTTACATGAGGTGATACACATAGGCAGAGAGACCTTACATCAGGTGATACACACGTATGCAGAGAGACCTTACATCAGGTGATACACACGTAGGCAGAGAGACCTTACATCAGGTGATACACATAGGCAGAGAGTCCTTACATCAGGTGATACACACGTAGGCAGAGAGACCTTACATCAGGTGATACACACATAGGCAGAGAGACCTTACGACAGGTGATACACACATAGGCTGAGAGACCTTACATCAGGTGATACACACATAGGCAGAGAGACCTTACATCAGGTGATACACACGTAGGCAGAGAGACCTTACATCAGGTGATACACACATAGGCAGAGAGACCTTACATCAGGTGATACACATAGGCAGAGAGACCTTACATCAGGTGATACACACGTAGGCAGAGAGACCTTACATCAGGTGATACACATAGGCAGAGAGACCTTACATCAGGTGATACACACGTAGGCAGAGAGACCTTACATCAGGTGATACACACATAGGCAGAGAGACCTTACATCAGGTGATACACACATAGGCAGAGAGACCTTACATCAGGTGATACACACGTATGCAGAGAGACCTTACATCAGGTGATACACACGTAGGCAGAGAGACCTTACATCAGGTGATACACACGTATGCAGAGAGACCTTACATCAGGTGATACACACGTAGGCAGAGAGACCTTACATCAGGTGATACACACGTAGGCAGAGAGACCTTACATCAGGTGATACACATAGGCAGAGAGACCTTACATCAAGTGATACACACATAGGCAGAGACCTTACATCAGGTGATACACACATAAGCTTTATCTTTACTCAAACATATACAAGTCAAAAGGAATGTGTGCATCATCATAAAGAAATGGGAACATTAGCGACTTGTAGTGTAACCACTGAGCTCTAGTGAGTTTTTGTCAGTAAACAATATGTCACCTGACTAACCACGGGCCCAGGTAGTGCTGTGGGTACCCGGGTCCTACTCAGGACCCACCCGACCCGAGTTACCCGTCCCAGCCCTATTAGAAACATATATTTTGTCGCTTTTACAGTCTATACTGGTTAAAGCAACCCGGTTTCGGACATCGTAAAGGTCAGCTCGATAAAGTAAATAAAGTACGAATGCTCCAAAACAGGTACGAGTCTGACGAGAGGTTCAGGTACGGGTTAGCCATTTTCGTTGGGTACGACAACGAATATTCGTGGGTACGGGTCGCCGAGTGTTTGCAACATAATACAAATTGATAATGGCACAGTCTAAGATTTAATGGGCCCATGGGACACACAATATTCTGTAATCGCACTTAGATTTAACCTATTTCATGTTAATATTCACCTTGAACAAAATATTTGGACATGTGTTTCACGGGCGCCGCCATGTTTAAGGAGCAGTCAATGTTCTTAAAATTGAAATAGTGATATCTGAAATATGTGCCAGATAATAATTATAATTGACCAAAGAAGCTCTTTTTAAGGTATTAACAGTATCAGTTTATTATTTCTAATGTCTAGGTGGTACTTACGTCACGTGGAGGTAGTTACATCGAGAACAAAAACATAGATATGGTCCCTGCTGATCATTCGTTCCTTCAAAGTTGAAAACCTAGCATTGGCTTAGAGAGCGAAGCTGTCGATATATTCTGAACCACAATTCGCTTGATAAAAGGAAATTATGTAACTCGTGATGTCTGAAATAGACCAAAGACCTACAATGGAAACTAAAGCCACCACCGGTAGTCCTATTCGTATACTGGTGTTTATTTAGCTAGATCTACCGACCAGAACTCCTACACAAAGAAATAATATAAAATTGGTGTATATTACGTCATGTTGATGGACATGCTCGTATACATGTATTGGTGGGTTCACTATTTGTCCAACATGTTGTTGTTGCAGATACTCTATACAGTCAGCTCCCTTTGTCAGTCAAGATCCATGGACATGAATTAGGACTGAAGGTAGAAAAGATTATGTTCTGTTGAGGACAGTTTGTGCCTATCATATCTATATTTCAGATTTGACTCTTGTACATATGACAACTGAATTCAATACAATAATTAACAATGATCTGTGTTGTTTTCAAAATACCCATACTTTGTACAGTTATTAGGCCAAATGAAGTATTAAATAAATAATCAGTATATATAAAGCATGTTAGGTATTCAGGGCAAATGGATTGATCACTGAAAATGCGAATTTTTCCACATGCTTTATAACAATTGTTACACCTATGCATCGTTATTTGAAAAGGACAATTAAGATTTTATAATGGTCGACACCTAAAATGATTATGAGTACCAGGCTTAATGTGATATTATGTTCTGCATGTATAACACATGGTAACTTGTTGCATTTAATCTTTTCACTCCAGCCAATCAAGAAGCAAGGCTTTGTGACCGCGTTCCTGGAGAAGCACCTACCAGTGCGCAGACTGCAGCAGGGGGAGGGTGACATCAGCCACAGGGTTGAGTTCCTGGATGCCAGGAAAAGGAAGAAGGTGAAGGACGCTTGTGTTGGTAAGAAGGGACTGTCAAACAAGGACAGGAAGAGACTCAAGCTGTTTGACATCAAGAAGGATCAACAAAGGTAAGTAAAAGAAGAGGACAGTAAATGGCAACTTTGACTTCGTATAACATCTCCATTTTATTTTGATAAATACCCTGGACTTTTTAGCCACCATAGCTTCATTTCAGAAGTGATGTCACAACTACCATCACTCCTGTCTCTAACCTTGCACTGAATTCCTCTTGCTTGTAGGAGCAATGTGATTGGACAGCTATTTTTAAGCATTAAACTGTTTGTAGAAGACTTAAAACAAAGCTATGGTAGTGATTGGTTACAGGGTATGTATCATAATAGAAAGGAGACTGTCAATATTTCAGAAAAATTCAGGGGGTGACTGAAAAGTTCTGAGCCGAACTATGATGGACTGCGTTGATGGAGGCGGTTGCTAATTATTTTGCAACATAAACCTCTCCAAGGTCCACAAACTTCTGCAAACAATGCTGTCCACTTCTAAACAGTGGCAAAGGAAAGAGTATTATCCCCTAAAGTTGACCCCATTCCACATGGATGGTTGTTTGAGTTGGCCCTTTCAGCTGGAGATACTTGATAACAGTCCAGTAGACAAATTTTAAAACTCACTATGCATTTCTTTCTTCTTCATTTTGTGGAAACAATCCTAAAACAAGTTTCTAGCTTCAAACAATAACACCTCACCCCAACACATCGCAGTCGTCACTGTGGTCACCAGTAGAAACAATGGTCCGAACACGAACTGGTCACCTGACCACATGAAGACTCTAGCATTATCTTCTCTTTTCTATCACCTTGGATCGAAGACCCAAAGGGGTATGGTTGATTGTTCCCTTGTTCTGAGCTCATTCACTCTACGGTAGTGATTGATGACTTTGACAAAGCATCAAGAGATGCCAAGCTGGTCCATCAAACCATTTTGAGTGAGGACTGTCTTATAGAGCATACTGGCCGGAGAAGGGGTAATCCACTCCCCCTCGTAAACGGGTTTGTGAAAGTCGTGGCTGGATAAGCTTCCCCTAGTTCAAAGCTGCGTGGCTGTTCAATAGATTGACATCCTGATCAAAACCACAAAACACATGAGTTACTCGATATCATGTTGTATCTGGCCTAGGGTTTTAGAAGCAACCCATACACGAGTCTGTCTATTATGACACTAAACATTGTAACAATCATTGGATTAGATCATAGTTTAAAACCAGCTTCCTTGTGTATGTTTCACGGATGAGGTCTGTTTACAGGCTAGGGTATCTGCGCTCAAACCATGGGATAAATGCATATAATTTTTTAATTTGAAGTTTACACGATATACGGCTTTTCCATTGGACGAGAGGTCGGTCACATGACAGCGAAATTGACGTTCATAAGTGTATGAACGACACAATTTGACGTTCATACGTTTTTCACGAGACCGTGTTCTTGAAATGACGTAAACACTGACGGACTACTTCCACATTCCTGGGGAAACCCCTGGGAATTCCCTAGCACGAAAACATGCATAAACGTTCTTTCTGATCATTTAGAACCTTTATTCTTGGTCACAGCGTTTCAGTATACTTTGAGAAATGTCAGAGAGCGTGACTGCATGATTGTTCACGAATATCCATGCTACGGCCCATCCTAATGAACAAACGAAGAAATGCACATCTAAACTATCGTAGTATCGACTCGATCCGTGCCTAGGCTGACATTGACCGTCTCCAGCAATCTATGAATTTACCTTTGTGTCTGTTTGACGCATCTTTATTCACCTTTCAATGATCGGCCAGTTGATCAATGATGACTAACACATGTAACCGCCAAAGGTTCATCAACAATTTAGGAAATCTCTCCCGTCACGTTTATCGTGTCGGCCATTTTGACGTCTTGTACTTGATGTAAATGTATTACGACGTGCTGTCATTGTGACTGACTTACTGAGGTAGTTCTTTACAGACCTTTCTCATCTAATGAGGATATGATTTGAACACATGTGCTGGGTAAGATGTTTCTGGAGAGCAAGTTGTGCATCCATACGCCCATGTCACCTCTCTTTTTGAGGAACTATTTTACTCCGCGATATAGCTGGTTGTTGTATGGCTGTCAGTTTAAACATGAAGTCACATGTACTAAATAAAATTGTGTTTAGATCTAGGCCTACATCTTTTGAGGTAAGAAATTGTGATAAAAAAATTATAAGAATTGACCTTCACTTTGTGTGAGTTCATTGGAGTATGAACCTTCATAGAGTGAGGGCCAAACATTGTATGAACGTCGTCGCAAGCTCCGACGTTCATACAGTTTGGCTCTCACTCTATGAAGGTTCATACTCCAATGAACTCACACAAAGTGAAGGTCAATTCTTAAATGAAAATTTGAACCTTTTACTAGAAATTGTTTATTTATATACTTATCCTGTCTCAAATGCTAAACGCCCACCCAACCATCCCCGCATCACAGTTACACCAGCCAGTACGCTCTTGGAAAGAGAATGATTATGCTGGGGTTGTCATGTGATCAGCTCGCATTGGATTTAAGTGGTGACCAAGGTGATTACTGGGATATGTTGGGGTGAAGTGTTTTTATTTGAAGTTGGAAACCTGCTTTAGAAATTGTTTGCACACCTTGATCGGAAAAGAAGGAAGAAATGCATATCGTGAGATAGGATAACTAATAAATATACAATTTTCAATTTTGTGTCGATTTTGATCAACAGAGAATACCTCGTCACTTTGATGTCTGCACAAATATGCTGCCTTGTTGCGTATTTGGTTCAAATGAAGCCTGTATGCATGGAAAGTACAGCACTTAATACATGCAAACTGTGGGTGTATAATACGCCTTCATCTTTAGGCTCCCTCTTTTCAGCCACCCCTAGTAGAACCTGTTGCTCGACTTCTGACATGAATGCCAGTTACAGCAACATTAGTAGGTCCAGTAAGTAAGATGTAACAAGATGTAAAATAGATATGGGTGTTTCGTGTTTTCACAATTATTGTAGGTGCCAGCAAGTTATTTATAATCATGTGCCGCCAGGCCCTATGACTATACTGCTTACTAACACTGATCAATGAGAGCTTTTCACCCTTTTCTTTGAAATTAATTATCCCTAAGTAGCATTTAAGAAGCTGAACTGTCAATGAAGGACTTCTTCAAATGTTCAATTTATCAGTAGAGATGCGGGTACCTTTATGAAGGGTTGATGCAGATAAGATACTTGTTATCAGGTGTGTTGTTATTTCTGAGATGGAAACATGTGTTGTGGATATTTCTCTTGAAACACCACATTGATTTAGATCTTAATATCAGGTCAACAACAAAAATAGAATTGTATTTTCTGTAAAGAGCCAGTGAGATTCTGATATTGTGAATACATGCTTCCCACAGGTATGAGGATTATCTCCCCCTGCATATCCTGTGGACAAGCTACGTGAAAGACCTCATAGACTTCCAGCAGTGAGTAATCTTGTGACCCTGACAACATGGTGGTGTATTTGGTAGAGTCTCATATCTTTCCACTGGGGAGGATCCCAGTGCAGACCATATATCCCTCATGCTTGTATGATGAGACATAAAATGGGCACTATATGGTTGACTCTGTGGCTTGCCTGATTGTGTGTGGGTCATCATCGACAGATTGCATGGGTCATGCTTCCAGTCACTTGTTTGCCTGGTCTGGACTCAATTATTTAGTCTGCTGTAATATAGCTGGAATAATGCTTACTGCAGCCTTAAGCCACATTACCTTACTGAAATCTTTGACCTGTAATTTAGCCTAGCCTAAGGGACCAGTTCAAAAGTTCGATGTCGGACCAAAAACGTAATTCCATAAAATTTGAGACATACTTGCTACCCCCCCAAACTTAATTCTAAAAATGTTGAATTCCTGAGTTTAGTGGCCTCTGTTGTCATGCATTCTCATGTTTTGTCCTGCTTTTTAAGAAAGTTTATCAAATGAAGTTTATTTTTCGTTTCACATGCCTGCCACCCTTATTGTAAAGCTGTTTGATAAGAAATAAATTAAACATAAAAATATTTATGTTTTACCTTACCTGACGCTACACAGTGCTTTAGCTTCCCTACCTTATACAAACAGACAGTATTCGAAGGAAGAGACAGTTTAAACAGACTACCGCCTGTGTCTCAGCATCAACGAGCTATCCCCCTATTCCTAACACTCTTCTCTGTCTGCCCTAATGCACAGGCGCGTATATGGAACAGATCGTCACAAGCCGGCGCCAGACTGTTGCCTCATTTCATCGAACTGTCCCCAGTGCTTCCCGGATTGTCAGCTATCGCCTAATCGTCATCAGCTATCGCCAGACCGTCGCCAGAGTTCGCCGGAATGTCGCCAGCTTCATAGGTCGCTGTACGCTTTTTCATCTCGCCGATCATCGCCTACTCAGTGTGCTTCGTCATCTGGCCATTCGGATGATGAGCAGCATTTTGTACCAGACTATAACAAAGTCTCTCACTCCGCCCAAGTGGAGCACAGAGTTTTGGAGTCTGGAGAAGTTCTCCTCCCATGTGACCAGTAGGTAGCTGATGTGGACAGGTCATTGAACACTGCTTTTATGACACTACCTGTCCACCATTGATTTAAGTTCCGAGATTTCGGAAGGAACACTATCCTTTCCACTCTATGGAATTTTCCAACGTCCACCCTCCTGTTCGGACGTTTCGATGCTCGTCGGTTCTTCTCAACCCAGTACCTCAATTCCGATGACAGATTCTCAACTTTGAAGAATGGACACCGCTCTCCGTCACTCTCTTTATCGACTGTCGGCAGTGGCTTCCGCCAACTCGGCCATACACGACTGCTTAGACAAGAATCCATCTGAGGCTAATGACCAGGTCCTTTCTGTCTTGGATTGGTAACAGCATCAACTTGTACACATGTCCACTTAGGTACAATACTGCCTTGGATCCATCACCGTCACCATCACTAGACGCCTTGCTCAGGCAGTCCTCCTGGGATCCGTCGTTCAAGACGCAATTGATGGTCTAGGTCAGCTCTCTTCAACAGCGATATCCTTACTGTTGCCAAGGAGGCCCAGTGTTGTGATACTAATCAACAACAGTTTTGTCTCCTTAGTAACATGGAACATCTGATTTCTTCTCAGCTCTCTCAGCTGCGAAAATCATACGTTGGGAAGAGAACTAGTTTGGAGAGCAAGACCTCTTCTTTTTGGCCCTAATGACAGTCCCACAGAAAAGATTGGACCTACCAAGCCCCCCAACTTGGACGCTTACCCGGCAGGGACCAGTGGACGCCTGACAACTGGCAACACCCTTTGCCATTTTCCGCCAAGTCTTCCTGGTGCCCAAGAATGGTTCGTCCAAACTACGAATGATCCACAATCTGGCGCTATTCAACCTCAATTATCTCGCGCCTTCACCACATTTCCAGATGATCTCCATCCGGTCTCTGTGCCACCTCCTTCAACCAATGAACTACCTCATCAGTCTGGATCTCCAGGATGCCTACCTGCACGTTGCCATTCAGGCAAACACATCATCGTTTCCTCCGCTTCATCTTCCGGGGCCAGCACTTTCAGTGGAAAGTGCTCCCATTTGGCATTTCCATGTCTCCATGTCATGGTTATTCATATGTATAACCCATCCCATCATTGCGTTCCTTCACCGCAGAGGGATTCAGTTTGGAGCCTACCTCGACGACTGCATCCTCGGTCACAGGATCCATCAGACCCTGAATCTTCAGCACGATTTTACGCTTTGCCTTCTCCATCGGTTGGGTTGGATGATCAACATGGAGAAATCGGATCTGATTCCTTCTCGCCATTTCTTAGGTGGTCTCTTTCTGGCAGATCTCTCCTAGATACAGGTTCCTCCGGATCGGTTTGCGGCGATCCAATCCGGGGTCAGGAGAGCCTCTCTCAACCTCTCTATCTCCGCCAGTGGCAGAGCCTTCTTGGGCTGTTGACCTCAGCTCGGGATCTGACGTCCAGGGGTCGTCTTCAACTGCGTCCCCTTCAGCGGTTTCTCCAGCCATTTCTGCGCTCAGACCTGTCAGGTCCCCTTCTTCCTCTGCTATGGGAATTACATCTGATGCCAAGGTAGGACCATCCCTTGTGCTGTTCCTCTTGGGTTGCTGGGTACTGTTATGTTGATACCTAGTAAAGTTTTGGTCCCATTTTCCCCCCTCTTTTTGAGCCAGACCTTGCCTTTTCCCTCTGTCAAGCAATGTTCTCTCTTCAAAGAGCTTGACCTACATCTTATCCCCTTGCCTGCTGTTCCGTGAGCCTCTCCCTTGATTTTCTGCCGGACCGTTTTGTTGTGCTTCCTCCTCCTCCTCCCTTACTGTTGGCACCACTGTGTACCCTACATCTGATGTCATCCAGTGAAGAATATGAGGAGTAGGGACCAAGGGGAATAACTCGTGGATGCTGAAGCAAGGGCTGTACCCTGTTTAAACTGACTTTTCGTTCCAGTACTGTCTGTTTGTATAAGGTAGGGAAGCTAAAGCACTGTGTAGCGTCAGGTAAGTATAAAAAGATTGCATTTAATCAGAAATGTTGATATATCATCTGCTAAGCTTGTCCCACTGCGCATGTCGGAAGTGGGGCTGCTGGGAAAATCTTGTGTTGTGAAAAAGTGTGTGAGCATGTGCCGGCCAGCGTGACAGGTTGTTTTTGTGTGAGTGGTGTAAGCTGAGGAAGAATATAAGAAGCAAAGTGTCTACAGCGGTTGGTTTTGGTTATTGGACTGGCATTAACAATGGTAGCAGAGCGTGGTTGCTGAAAGGATTGATAATTCCCAGACGTAAATATCACTTTTGCTCACACATTTGTGAGTGTATTTCAACAAACAAGTAATTTTTGTGATTGATGCAGTGAGATAAAAGTGTGTTTGGAGAGATCGAAAACTGGAAATTTTGGAGTGTTGACATTTTGTTGATTAGAAGATAGAATGGCAGCGAAACTGAATCCCCCCGAACTCTGCATAGGGAAAAGTTATGAGAGATACATACAGGAGCTGAAATGAGAAAATGAAACAAGGAATAGTATTAGCTTTATCACTCCCAGAAAATGAATGTGGTACACGAGAGAAAGTATTTGATAACATTCCTCTTGAAGATTTGAAAAACGAAAATGGTTTTGAAACTCTGATAGCTTTCTTTAACACTCAGCTTGGAAAAGATGATCTTGTTGATAGTCTTGAAAAATTTGAAGATTTTGAAGATTTTTTTAGGGAAGTGGGGCAATCAATCAATGAATATATCTCCAAATTTGATCAAAAATATAATAAGATATTAAAGAAAAGAATGAGTCTGCCACAGGAAATCTTAGCATTCAAGCTTCTCAAATGCGCTAAAAATTACCAAAGAAGAAAAAATGTTAGTGATGACAGGTATGGACTACACAAACAAAGCCACATTATATCAACAGGCCAAATTATCTTTGAAGAAATGTCTTGGACAACATTCTTGTGATTGAGGAAATGGTATGCAGTCAATTAAAGTTGAATCCTCAGACATCATTAATCATGACAATGAGGAAGCTTTTGCCAATCAGTATACAAGTTCTGTCAGAGGTCGGGGTCGAAGTTACATGTATGGCAGAGCACGTGGCTTTCGGGATTGAAGACAAGGCTGGAGAGGATTGAGACAGCCAGAGCGTAACATGAATCCAGTTGGCACCAATGGGAAAACTTTGACATGTTTGGCCTGTGGGTCTTTCAGGCATTTAATTGCACAGTGTCCTCACAGTTGGGAAAATATGTCTAAAGTTCACTATGTTGAAGGTGGAAGTGAAAATGAAGAAACTGTTGAACAGGTCATTTTGTTTACAGGAAACATTAAAGATAACATGGCACAGTTAGGCAATGATGCAAGATGTTGTGCGATATTGGACAGTGCATGTTCGAGTACAGTATGTGGCAGAATGTGGTTGGAAGGGTATTTGGACTCGCTGTACAAGAAGGATAGAGATGTGAAGGTGTGAAAATGTTTATGTTCGGTGGAGGTGAAAAACTCAAGTCACAAGGTAGCTATGACTTACCAGCATTTATGGAAGGAAATAATGTGAGAATTCCGCTTTTACTTTCCTTAAGGTCAATGAAGGAAGCATGTGTCAAATTAGACTTGGAACATGACTCAGCAGAAATCCTTGGTGAAGAAGTTAGTTTAAATTACACATCATCAGGACATTACTGCATTTCCATAGACAAGTATGAAAAAATGCCTGTTGAAGAAGTTAATGGTGTATTGTTACACAAGATGGAAGATGATGAGCGTTACAAGGTAATTCTCAAGTTACATAGAGTTCACCCACCCACCGGAAAGGAAACTTGTTGCTCTAATGAAAGATGCAGGAATGAGGCGAGATGAATTCAAGGACACAATCAGCAAAATTTATGGAAATTGTCAGATGTGCAAAGCTTATACGAGAACACCTGCCAGACCTGCTGCAGCCCTGCCAATGGCATCACAGTGCAATGAAACAGTTGCAATGGATTGGAAGAAGTGGTCAAGACTTACCATTTCTGTGTTTATTCAAAGAAAAACACCTAGTGAAGTAATTGACAAAATTATGACTCATTGGATCGGCCAGACTCGTAGCCAGAGGTTTTGAGGAAGATGTGGAAATAGAGAGAGATTCTCCAATAGGAAAGAGTGCATTGAAAGTGTTTTTAGCTTTGGCAGCTTATCACAAATGGACTGTAAAAACCACTGACATTAAGTCTGCATTTCTACAAGGCAAATTATTTGATAGAGATGTGTTCATCATTCCACATCAGGAAGCTGAAATGAAAAATAATGGAATCATATGGAAGTTGAAGCATTGTTTATATGGTTTGAATGATGCAGCCAGGCAATTCTACAAAAGTGTCCGAGATTAATTATTGCAACTGAAGTGTGTGCAATCTTCACTTGACCCTGCTTTGTTTCATATGCAAGACCATGGTTGTCTTATCGGTATGATTGTTAGTCATGTTGATGACTTTTTACATTGTGGACAGATGTATTTTGAGGCTAATGTGATTATGAAGCTTCAGGTGCAATTCTTAGCAGGAAAAATAGAAACAGGACAGTTTAGATATGTGGGTTTTCAAATCACACAAGATCCTGTTGGAATCATGGTAGATCAACAAGAGTATTTGGACGAGTTGGAGATAGGAAACATTTCATTACAAAGGAAGACACAGAAACATGAACCTCTCAGTCCTCATGAACATACCAGGCTCAGAAGTCTTGTTGGAAAGCTCAACTGGCTTGTACAAGGTTCTAGGCCTGACCTTGCGTTCGAAATGACTGAACTCAGCACAAAGTTTAAGAGTGGAATTGTGGATGATCTATTGAGGGCTGTAAAAGTGATTCGGGAATTGAAAGACTCTGAAGCAAAGATTTACTTTCCGTACATTGGGAATTATTTTAGTTGGAAACTTGTGGTTTTCACAATTTATGTAATGGTGTGAGTAGTGTTGGAGCACATGTGATTTTCCTTGTTGGGGGGAATAACTGCTGCTGTCCTTTGGCATGGCATGCTGGCAAGATAAAAAGAGTAGTGAGATCTACAATACATGCAGAGACACTGAGTTTGCAGGAAGGACTTGAAGATGCATTCTATTTAAGAAAACTCATTGAAGAAATGACAGGCATGACAGGCATGTTTAACATTCATGCGTTTGTTGATAACAGAAGTGTGGTGGAGGCTGTACATTCAAACAGTCTTGTTGATGACAAGCGTTTGAGACTGGATATTGCCACAATTCAGCAGTCTCTACAAAACAAGGAAGTGACCTCTGTCAAGTGGATTCCTGGTCATCAACAACTTGCTAACGCAATGACAAAAAGAGGAGCGTCTGGGGTTCAGCTTTTGAGGGTGTTGCAAACTGGACGTCTTCAAATTGATGGATGGTGACTTTGTGCTAGTTTAAAAGATGCATGCGAGTGATAGTATGGGGCAGAATAATCCCCAAGGCAGGAGTGAAGTCTACCCCTGAGATTGCCTTTCACATGCCTGTGTACATTGTATTCTTTTAAATATAAGTTATACAGTCCTTAAATATATTTGAAAACATTAATATCTCTACAGATTTTTATGAACAATGTTTGACACTGACTTCTCTGCTTGCAAGTAATGAAGAAAAATAGAAAAAGAAAATGTATTAAATGTTGATATATCGTCTGCTAAGCTAGTCCCACTGCGCATGTCGGAAGTGGGGCTGCTGGGAAAATCTTGTGTTGTGAAAAAGTGTGTGAGCATGTGCCAGCGGGCGTGACAGGTTGTTTTTGTGTGAGTGGTGTAAGCTGAGGAAGAATATAAGAAGCAAAGTGTCTACAGCGGTTGGATTTGGTTATTGGACTGGCATTAACAAGAAATGCTCATTTTTATTATGTCTTTCGCTTGCAGTATGGACCCTCTTTACAAAATATAATGTTATATATAAATTCCATGTCTACATCACTATCAGGGATTCAAGAAACCAGCTGCAGATTTAACTCAAGGGCAGAATGACTTTCATATAAATAAATAAATAAATGATTGACATAACTATTTATTTTTATTTTGACTGACCGTATGTGTGGAAAAGCTGGAATAAATATGTGAAACATAAAATTAAAACAGTGTGGCCTTAAACATTACACACTGCACTGGATGGACTATTGCTTGTGATGACAAAACCCTACCTTGAAGAAAGACTGGATGTATTTATAGACAACCAACAGCATATGGATGAAAATAGAATGATAGTGTTTGCTTACTTTAGTTACTATTATAAAGCATTGAGAAATCAGATAAATTGATTTTGTTGGATGGAAAACTTGCAGGGCCATTAACACCCCCACCCATAAACTTAAGACATTAAGATTTTTATCCGACATCAAACTTTTGATCTAAGGCCATCATGTTTACTTCACCAGTGACCTCATGGGAAGGTTTTGAGGTGTTGGATGCTATTTTCAAGTTATGTGTATGTATTCATTCACTGATTAGAGCTTTTATGGATATGGAAATCAAGTCAACTTTTATGAGCAATCTGTAGTCTATACCTTTTCTTCAATAACCATCATCATTACTGGTTTCATCACATCATTACATTTGAGAATTTGTTGGTCTTGATGGCCGCTGAGTAGGAATACTAAAATATGTACTGGTTGATCCAGCTCCTGAACTTGGTGTCTTTGTTCATTTCGTGACTCGGCCATAGTGTCCACCACCCTTTTTAAAACTGCCTGGATCTGTGTGCGTCCCGAGCTGGCTGGGTGAAGCCAGCCTGGTTGATTGTATGTAGAACGTGGTCTGGTCCTGGCTGGAATGTGGCCATGATGCTGCTTACTTTTCTCTAAGCTGACATTCTCTTTTCAACTACCAGAGTTTTACGCGATGCAGCAATGTGCCTCCAGTACGCACAAATGTATAGAATGGAAGCAGAAAAAGATATATTGTGTTCTGAGGGACAAACAAGACATATCTTTGTACCACATTCTTGACAAGGAATATAAAATTCCTGTAAACAAAGTAATTATAAAATCTTTGTACAGTACACAACACCATTTCATTACTTTACAGGACCCTTGAAATTAGTAACATGGGGGTTCTCTGGATCCCTAGTTTTGTAGGTCAAGGTAAAACCCTGAACTACTACTTACACAATGATAAATTATTCAATTTTCATCCCCACCTGCCTCATTAACAAACATTCCACCTCACACCTTACTTTACTTGATGAAATCCACCACATACAGCCCAACCAAACATTGATGCTTCATGTGAATCACATCTGTCAATACAATGTAGTTCATTTATATGCCTTGAACAATTCGTCAACACAAATAAAATAGGAAAATTATCTGAAAACAAAATTGGATGAAATCGTATAATTAATGTAATGTGGCCTTATAATGCATTTCTTCCTTCGCAGTTTGAATGAAAAGAACCATGTGACAGCTACCATGAAGTTTATGAAAGCTGACCTCCATGGTTGCATTATTACAGTTCAAAGGTCAAAGTGTGCATCCTATGTGGGTACAACTGGGATAGTGCTTAAGGAATCTCGCAACATGTTCCTGATCGTAACAGCTGACAACAGAGTCAAAGGTATCTGTGTACTGGACCTTCTGTTAAACATATGCTGACGTGGAGAATTATATGTAATGTGAATGTTTGAATACAATCAACGTAGAAACTGGACTATTGATTGTGTTGTGACAATGTGTTAAACTTTGGACCAGTTCTGTCTTGGACTTTCAAGTTTATGTAGATCACAGGAGTTGTATAGAGGTTAGAGCTTTGTTGAAAGAGACCCTGCCCTGCATTTCACACACTGTTCCTTGTCCCATGACACCCTTATTTTCTGTTCCAGACATCCCCAAGCAGAACAGTGTGTTCACAGTGAAGGTGGAGGGATTTCTGTTCACCGTGCATGGTAACCACTTCAAGGTGAAGACTGCAGAGAGGCCAAGTCGACGCTTCAAGAGTAAAGCAACTATTGACTTGTGACTCGCTTCATGGACAGGCTGTTTGGCATGAGTTCATGAGTATAATTTCACCAGACTGTTTACAGATCACACTGATGGACTGATGCCATAGCAACACTTACGAACTGAAGGCTTCAGTGTGGCCTGCTTTGTGTCCTTCAGCCTCTAGTGTATCCAAATATCATTTGGAGCAAGGTTTCTTTGCTGAATGAATGGCAGCCTGCAGAACTTATTCTAGTGGGTCATTAATGTCTGAATGTTATGTATCTGAGTGCCACATGGACAACAATATTTAATATACCAGCTTGAGGATTACTGTTGCCTTTGTTACTGTGTACTGCTTGGTTTGTCCCACTCTGTGATGTCTGGGTCTGTCTGCTGTCTGGAGAAGGACTGGGAATGTGACATGGAGGTCATCTGGATGTCACCAAGGTGGTCCATGGCCAGAGACGAGTCTCCTCTACTGACTGACTGTTCACGCGGCACATAACAATCAAAAGAGATCTGTTTATTCCAGAAAGTGTACAAAAATATATGAGTCAAGCAATAGTCAAGATAATTACATAACCCACCCAGAAGAGGACCATTATCAAGTACAATATACACTGCATGGTCAAGCATTAATACATGCATTATCTATGGAATCTAATACAACCATTTTCTAAATGTGTAAGAAATAATGATGTTAACATCAATGAGTCAAGGCAATCAGGAGACAATACATTTGATGGATATCCATTAGGAATGCTTCCTATGGTGGCTAATTGTAGAAATATATTTGCGTTACATAATATATTAAGTTTCTCTAAAAAGATTCAAATACGAATGCAAGTTTGTTAAAGAAATATCTAAGGGATTTAGTTGTCATTTTTCTGTTTTCCAAGGCAACCCTTGATATTGTGAGGATTCTCATGATGAGTTCACCTATTACCACTGCTGGTAAGCTTCCTGGAGGGACATTGAGGAAGATAGAACAGTGACATTTTCTCCCATATTTTCAAGTAGTTAGGACAAGTTAATCTGGAACACATGGCGCATGATTCAATAGTATGAAGCAGATGTAAGACGAGTTGTTTGGCTCTCATCAGTGTTTTACTGGAAGCAAAATATGCCTTCCAATACTCATACAACTTTAAAATAGATGCACATAAGTTACGTTGTGATTCATGGGGGGTGAAATAAATGGCTATTTGAATCAATCTGTAACACTATATTGTAGATATCATGTTACATGTAACTTATATTTCTGTTCTGGTAATCAAAGTTCAGAATGTCAGTGGTTGATTTTCTTCATTCCAAAATCAAAATGCCCATCTAAAAGAGGCTTTGTAAGTGCAGGGACAAGACATAAGTAAATTTCATAGTGATATCCAAGAAGCTGTGTCTGTATCAGCTTGTGTGCAATGGAGGTGTTATGTAAGTCAGACATAGTGATATCCAAGTAGCTATGTCTGTATCAACTTGTCTTCTTCTCCTCGCCAGCTTTGTCCTCCCTCTCAGACTTACACTTACGACAGATTCGGTCGAAATAGTCTAGATAGAACAGTGAGATGACACGGAACAAACCCATTGTTGCTACCTGAAACACAAATATGAAAGTGTTGAGTAGTTGTCCCGAGAGGTGAACCGTAAGGAAATGGTGGATCTTCAGATAGCTCATCCCAGAAGTGGTGTCATAGGAAAGTGGTCTTAGATAGCTGAGCTGATCTGTTTCCTTATGTTATGTGGTTATTTATCATACATTATACAAAATCAGACAAAACATTTCCACAAAATTGTAACTGAATAGTTACTAAACACATTAAAAAATAGAGATCTACTGAACTTTTTGAAGTAGAGGAAACATCTTAAACTCATATCCAATAATGACCTCCCCTGTGTATACACAGACTCGGGTCATGAGGAGTGCCATGTGTAAAAACCTTGCATCTTATATTCTGGGGCCATGAGGCTGCATCGTGAATACTTCATGGAGGACACTACATTCCTAAATCACCCATGAATACATGATGCCACTTTGCGATGTAATAGCAACACATCTAGTTATAGTCAAGGATTGAAATGAGGCCATGTATAACTCAAGAAAGTCAACTTATCCCTACTCCATGCTTGAACTTTGAGCGAACCCTACTGTTGCCTGACACGGAAGCAATGAGGAGAGTAGAGGCCGCTAGGCTGGGGCACATGTTGCACGAGAAATACTGCGGATGTGATCTGAGTACTCATTGGTCTGGCTGGCTGGAGCCAGGCTGTGACTTGAAGCATTGGTTGAAAATTAATACACCACCAGGTTGACATGTATTCACTGATTCTTCATGACCATCAAACAGGAGATGCAGCTACATACATTGGTATGTATGTAATGAAGTTCCTTTTCATTTCTAAGCGGGAGGGCTCAGCTGCCTCACTGCTACATGTCATGTTGGTGTGACTGACCTGCTGTGTTGCTGCCATGATGGATGTGACTGGGGACATCCCACAGGTCAAGTTGGCCAGCATGTAGCCATCCAAACCCATGTAGCTGAAGAAACGACCTTGCTGCAATGAGAATATGACAATGGGCAAGTTTTAGAAACTAGCTGTGTCCTTGGGATCTTGTGGTTTTCAGCTGTAGTATTTGAACCTACTGCCCCCATTTAACATAAGGGCAAGAACCCCTTGTCTTCACACGGAACACTGTGTGGCCCTTGTTATTGGAATCACAGCATACTATAGAGAAGCTTATTGTTTGTTTGTTGGTCCAGCTGTCATAGCAATCTGTAAATAATGAAGTCTGGACCAGACAAACGAGTGACTTATAATATGAGCAACATCAGGAGTCTTTACAACAAGCATAGGTTACTTATGATGAATAGAAGAGGTTATTAATGAAACCTTCAAACTGAAATATATTTGTGTTTGATCAATTGATCAACATGTCACATTGGTGAACACAACAGTGTCATTGCTTACAATCGCATCCTTAATGACTGTTTGGGCAACATCTGTTGGCTGGAAGAGACCGGCAGTTTCTGATATCAATCGTGTTTCGGCAGGCTGTAAAAGATAGAAGATCTCAGCTGCTGCCCACCACCACAGATAGTCATACACGTTGCATAATACTGATATTCTTTTCTCTCTAAAACTACCTGTTATACTGTATTATCCTACAAAACATTGCTGAGACAAGTACAATTCAGTATATGAGCTTAAATTACCAGTATGACACATAATACAAATAATAACTCTTGACGAGGTTCACCAAAGATAGGATATCAAAAGTAATGATTCGTTTTGTTATACCAAAATTCACTTTAAAGTTTATGAAGCCTTTAAACTGTCCTCCGTTACATTACAGTACTGGCAAACCATGAAATGTAACTACCAGATGCCATCTCGTTTTCTTGCAGACAAGAGCCAATATTCATCACGTTATAGGTCAATACTGATCATGTTACGGGTCAATAGTTGATGTCAGTGTCAGTCACATGATTTGGGGGACTACATTTAAATGTGTTGTTTCATAACATGGTACAGATTACCCAATGAAATTGCAAGATTCTTAATAGAGGCATAACAAACACTTATGTTGACCAGTAACCAGAAACATGAACCAAACCTTAGATTTCTGTTCCTCTGCAAATCCTGGTGTGTCTGTGTCAGCTGGGAAGGCGAGTGTTACATACACATTGTAGGGCTTTAACTGAAACAAGGCTGTCCTTCAAACTCACTGTGTTTCCAAAAACATTACAAATATATGGCATGTGACACAAAGTCAATTCATCCCAATTTGTAACAAGAGGCCCATAGGGCCTGTATCACTCACCTGGGTATTTACGCAATCATGACAAAATAAACATTTGCATTGTACATGTATATAATACTGCAAATATTTCATAATTTTGACCCTGTCAGCATTTAAAAGGGGCTGATGGCAAATCTGACAGCATGAACGTGTATTTCTCTAGCTACAAATGTAGCATAAAGATCTGAACCGTTTCCATGTTATGATCCAGGATCTAAGTTTCAAGAGGCAAGGCTGCATCCCAGGGCGAGTCCTATTGGCATAAATGTATTATTCTCTTCATAACAAACAAATGTATACAAAGTCTCCGTTTATCATAGGGTGGGGATAATATCTGTTTACATGGTGTGGTCAAGGTTCTAACTCCTTTGGGAGTGCCAGACAGATGAACAGAAGGGCCAGTCCTGGTAGAATATAATTCCTCTCATTACATATGGTTATACGGTGATCTTAACTGTGTCAATCTAGGGATGCTTCCAATCAAATATTGTTGATATCTATATCTTAGTTCCAGAGAAGAAGTCGCTTAAAGCAATATAGCCAAATTACCCCTATTTGGCCCCACCCCTCAACCCCTGGTGGGGTAAGCCCCACATTTGTACAATTTTGAATCCCAACCACCTAGGGATGATTCCAGTCAAATTTTGTTAATTTCCTATTAGTGGTTCAGAAAAAGAAGTCGTTTGAATAAATTGTTGACGTGCGGAAGACGGACGGACGGATGGACGACGAACGGACGATGGACGCCACAGTGAGCTAACTAGGAGCAGCACAGGGCCTTTCCTTACAATACGAAGTTCAGAAACAGAAACCGATCAGAAGCAAAACTTTTTCTATAACCCCGCTACTATACTTGGGTGGTTTGCTTCGTTTGTTGTTTAAGGCCGCCCTCAGTAATATTCCAGCTATATGATGGCGGTCTGTAAATAATCGAGTCTGGACCAGACAGTCCAGTGATTAATATCATGTGCATTGATCCATGCAATTGGGATCAATGACATGCATCAACCAAGTCAACGAGCCTGACCACCCGATCCTGTGAGTCGCCACTTACTTTTACGGCAAGCATCGGTTGCTGATGACCTATTTTACCCCAGGTCTTCACGGGTCTGCTACTATACTATTAATTACTCAGAAATATTTCATAATGCCATCAGCATGATCCATATTAGAGTTGGTAGAAGCGTAGAGTTACCATTACACAATTACATGTCTTGTATACCATAGACAGGATGATGATCAGTGTTGGAGTGGGCAGAAGTGTAGTGTTACCATTACACAATAACATATCTTGTATACCATAGACAGGATGATGATCAGTGTGGGAGTGGGCAGGAGTGTAGTGTTACCATTACACAATTACATGTCTTGTATACCATAGACAGGATGATGATAAGTGTGGGAGTGGGCAGGAGCGTAGTGTTACCATTACACAATTACATGTCTTGTATACCATAGACAGGATGATGATAAGTGTGGGAGTGGGCAGGAGTGTAGTGTTACCATTACACAATTACATGTCTTGTATACCATAGACAGGATGATGATAAGTGTGGGAGTGGGCAGGAGCGTAGTGTTACCATTACACAATTACATGTCTTGTATACCATAGACAGGATGATGATAAGTGTGGGAGTGGGCAGGAGCGTAGTGTTACCATTACACAATTACATGTCTTGTATACCATAGACAGGATGATCATCAGTGTGGGAGTGGGTAGGAGTGTAGAGTTACCATTACACAATTACATGTCTTGCATACCATAGACAGGATGATGATCAGTGTTGGAGTGGGCAGAAGTGTAGTGTTACCATTACACAATTACATGTCTTGTATACCATAGACAGGATGATCATCAGTGTGGGAGTGGGCAGGAGGGTAGAGTTACCATTACACAATTACATGTCTTGTATACCATAGACAGGATGATGATAAGTGTGGGAGTGGGCAGGAGCGTAGTGTTACCATTACACAATTACATGTCTTGTATACCATAGACAGGATGATGATAAGTGTGGGAGTGGGCAGGAGTGTAGTGTTACCATTACACAATTACATGTCTTGTATACCATAGACAGGATGATGATAAGTGTGGGAGTGGGCAGGAGCGTAGTGTTACCATTACACAATTACATGTCTTGTATACCATAGACAGGATGATGATCAGTGTGGGAGTGGGTAGGAGCGTAGTGTTACCATTACACAATTACATGCCTTGTATACCATAGACAGGATGATGATCAGTGTGGGAGTGGGCAGGAGTGTAGTGTTACCATTACACAATTACATGTCTTGTTTACCATAGACAGGATGATGATCAGTGTTGGAGTGGGTAGGAGTGTAGAGTTACCATTACACAATTACATGTCTTGTATACCATAGACAGGATGATCATCAGTGTGGGAGTGGGCAGGAGGGTAGAGTTACCATTACACAATTACATGTCTTGTATACCATAGACAGGATGATGATCAGTGTGGGAGTGGGTAGGAGCGTAGTGTTACCATTACACAATTACATGCTTTGTATACCATAGACAGGATGATGATCAGTGTGGGAGTGGGCAGGAGTGTAGTGTTACTATTACACAATTACATGTCTTGTTTACCATAGACAGGATGATGATCAGTGTTGGAGTGGGTAGTAGTGTTTAGTTACCATTACACAATTACATATCTCGTATACCATAGACAGGATGATGATCAGTGTGGGAGTGGGCAGGAGTGTAGTGTTACCATTACACAATTACATATCTTGTATACCATAGACAGGATGATGATCAGTGTTGGAGTGGGCAGGAGTGTAGAGTTACCATTACACAATTACATGTCTTGTATACCATAGACAGGATGATGATCAGTGTTGGAGTGGGTAGGAGTGTAGAGTTACCATTACACAATTACATGTCTTGTATACCATGATGATCAGTGTGGGAGTGGGTAGGAGTGTAGAGTTACCATTACACAATTACATGTCTTGTATACCATGATGATCAGTGTTGGAGTGGCTAGGAGAGTAGAGTTACCATTACACAATTACATGTCTTGTATACCATAGACAGGATGATGATCAGTGTCGGAGTGGGTAGGAGTGTAGAGTTACCATTACACAATTACATGCCTAGTATACCATAGACAGGATGATGATAAGTGTTGGAGTGGGTAGGAGTGTAGAGTTACCATTACACAATTACATATCTTGTATACCATAGACAGGATGATGATCAGTGTGGGAGTGGGTAGGAGCGTAGTGTTACCATTACACAATTACATGTCTTGCATACCATAGACAGGATGATGATCAGTGTTGGAGTGGGTAGGAGTGTAGAGTTACTATTACACAATTACATGTCTTGTATACCATAGACAGGATGATGATCAGTGTTGGAGTGGGTAGGAGTGTAGAGTAACCATTACACAATTACATGTCTTGTATACCATAGACAGGATGATGATCAGTGTTGGAGTGGGTAGGAGTGTAGAGTAACCATTACACAATTACATGTCTTGTATACCATAGACAGGATGATGATCAGTGTTGGAGTGGCTAGGAGTGTAGAGTTACCATTACACAATTACATGTCTTGTATACCATGATGATCAGTGTGGGAGTGGGTAGGAGTGTAGGGTTACCATTACACAATTACATGTCTTGTATACCATGATGATCAGTGTGGGAGTGGGTAGGAGTGTAGGGTTACCATTACACAATTACATGTCTTGTATACCATAGACAGGATGATGATCAGTGTTGGAGTGGGTAGGAGTGTAGAGTTACCATTACACAATTACATGTCTTGTATACCATGATGATCAGTGTGGGAGTGGGTAGGAGTGTAGGGTTACCATTACACAATTACATGTCTTGTATACCATAGACAGGATGATGATCAGTGTTGGAGTGGGTAGGAGTGTAGAGTTACCATTACACAATTACATGTCTTGTATACCATGATGATCAGTGTTGGAGTGGCTAGGAGTGTAGAGTTACCATTACACAATTACATGTCTTGTATACCATAGACAGGATGATGATCAGTGTTGGAGTGGGTAGGAGTGTAGAGTAAACATTACACAATTACATGTTTTGTATACCATAGACAGGATGATGATCAGTGTTGGAGTGGGTAGGAGTGTAGAGTTATCATTACACAATTACATGTCTTGTATACCATGATGATCAGTGTGGGAGTGGGTAGGAGTGTAGAGTTACCATTACACAATTACATGTCTTGTATACCATGGACAGGATGATGATCAGTGTGGGAGTTGCTAGGAGTGTAGTGTTACCATTACACAATTACATATCTTGTATACCATAGACAGGATGATGATCAGTGTTGGAGTGGGTAGGAGTGTAGAGTTACCATTACACAATTACATGTCTTGTATACCATAGACAGGATGATGATCAGTGTTGGAGTGGGCAGGAGCGTAATGTTACCATTACACAATTACATGTCTTGTATACCATAGACAGGATGATGATCAGTGTTGGAGTGGGCAGGAGTGTAGAGTTACCATTACACAATTACATGTCTTGTATACCATAGACAGGATGATGATCAGTGTGGGAGTGGGCAGGAGTGTAGTGTTACCATTACACAATTACATGTCTTGTATACCATACACAGGATGATGATTAGTGTTGGAGTGGGTAGGAGTGTAGAGTTACCATTACACAATTACATGTCTTGTACACCATAGACAGGATGATGATCAGTGTTGGAGTGGGTAGGAGTGTAGTGTTACCATTACACAATTACATGTCTTGTATACCATAGACAGGATGATGATCAGTGTGGGAGTTGCTAGGAGTATAGTGTTACCATAACACACAATGACATGTCTTGTATACCATAGACAGGATGATGATCAGTGTTGGAGTGGGCAGGAGCGTAGAGTTACCATTACACAATTACATGTCTTGTATACCATAGACAGGATGATGATCAGTGTGGGAGTGGGCAGGAGTGTAGTGTTACCATTACACAATTACATGTCTTGTATACCATAGACAGGGTGATGATCAGTGTTGGAGTGGGTAGGAGTGTAGAGTTACCATTACACAATTACATGTCTTGTATACCATAGACAGGATGATGATCAGTGTTGGAGTGGGCAGGAGTGTAGTGTTACCATTACACAATTACATGTCTTGTATACCATAGACAGGATGATGATCCGTGTTGGAGTTGGTAGGAGTGTAGAGTTACCATTACACAATTACATGCCTTGTATACCATAATGATCAGTGTGAGAGTGGGAAGGTGCAAATATTAAAAACACCAACAGTTTTTTAATTTCTAAATGACAATGAGATACCACTGAATAAAACATTGTCTGATGTGGCCTTTGTACAATGTTCAGTAGAAAATGTTTTCAGCAAACTATACCTTACTGTGTCATATTTATTTGTTTCTTCTTGGAAAATATGGTTCTCAACAAAGAGAAAGACACAAGCAAGGATATTTCAAACACTTTCTGGCTTCTGCTCTGAAAACTATGCCAATCTTGCATCTCAGTGTATTAGAACTTCTTGCTTTGATAACAGCAAAATAATTCATTCTAAATTTTAATTTGAAAAAGCATGACATAAGAATTTGGCTGATGTGTTTTGACAGACTGATGAGACATTTCAATGTCAAGGGGATAAGAAGGTAAAGCAAGTTACCTCCATATGTAGTGACTCTGCCAGTCCTCTCAGTGCATACTTGGAGGCAGAGTATGCTGTGAACCCGAAGAGTCCAATCTGCCCAGCTTGTGATGACACAAACACAATACGACCTTTCTGACGCCGCTTCATCCCGGGGACAACAGCCTTGGTGGCATATACGCTACCCATGTAGTTGATATCAATCATCCTCTGAAATAGACAGGCCGATAATTGAGTCTGAACTAGATAAATAAGTTCTGGGTATAATAAGCTAACTTCCTTACCAGTAGGCATGAAGATACTCACTCAACCAATTCACAGCAACTGATCATTCAATTCATTCTATCGCCCTTTAGAAAAAAAGTATAGGTTACTGTGGACCTGCTCTAACCTAGAAGGGGGCAGTGGGGTAGCCTAGTGGTTAAAGCGTTCGCTCGTCATGCTGAAGACCTGGGTTCGATTCGCCACATGGGTCTAATGTGTGAAGCCCATTTGTGGTGTTGCCGGCTGTGACGTTGCTGGAATATTGATAAAAAGTGGCATCAAACTATACTCACTGTAACCTGGAAGCTCCAAAGGCCTGGCATTTTTGTATAAGATAATAATGGTCACAAAAAGCAAAAAAAATTAACAGCAGTTTTAATACAACAAATCACTATGAACATATTATGATACATGTAGTAAAGGCAGATTGTCATGCGATCATGCCTAAAATTAGCTCAGAATTGTGAGCAAATTTAAAGACATCACTGCTCGAATCACATTCACCAAATTTTGTTTTCCAAAGAGAAGTTGAAATTGTTGATGACCAGCTAAATGGGCATTTAAAGGCAAAGGCAATTGTTAATTCACACCCACATACATACTGAACATCAAACTGGATAATGATACATGTGTATGCAGAAACAGCTGAATAGTAGGCAAAACTGACATTGAATATGATTGTCATGGTGTCCATTTTGAAATTCAGACCAAAATATTGCAAACACTTCTTAGAAACCTCACACCTGGGATCATCCTCAAATAGTTTCAGCTTCATCAAGGGCCATGTTGTTTCAGAGGATATGGTGAGTTTATGTTAAAGTTTATGACAGACAGACAGGAGGAAAGTTGGAGACAGACAGCACCCCACATCATACGCTCACTTGAACAGAAAGGCATCCCATTCTTCCAGACATGTATTAATTGTGTCTTTCTTGTACCTTGAACTCCTCCACTGAGGTGTCTTCAAATGACCCACTGATGGACGTGCCTGCACAGTTGACCAGCAAGTGGACGGTTCCAAGCTGTTCCTCTGCCTGAAGGAAAAGACACATCTTACTAAACATACTTACCACACAATTCCCACATCTTACTGAGCATCGTTAGTACACAATTCACACATCTTACTGAACATAGTTACTATACAATTCCCACATCTTACTGAGCATCGTTAGTACACAATTCACACATCTTACTGAACATAGTTACTATACAATTCCCACATCTTACTGAACATTGTTACTACACAATTCACACATCTTACTAAACATCGTTAGTACACAATTCACACATCTTACTGAACATAGTTACTATACAATTCACACATCTTACTGAACATTGTTACTACACAATTCACACATCTTACTGAACATCGTTAGTACACAATTCACACATCTTACTGAACATAGTTACTATACAATTCACACATCTTACTGAGCATTGTTACTACACAATTCACACATCTTACTGAACATAGTTACTATACAATTCAGACATCTTACTGAACATAGTTACTACACAATTCACACATCTTACTGAACATTGTTAGTACACAATTCACAAATCTTACTGAACATCGTTACTACACAATTAACACATATTACTGAGCATTGTTACTACACAATTCACAAATCTTACTGAACATTGTTACTACACAATTCACACATCTTACTGAACATTGTTACTACAAAATTCACACATCTTACTGGACATTGTTACTACACAATTCACACATCTTACTGAACATTGTTACTACACAATTCACACATCTTACTGAACACCGTTACTACACAATTCACACATCTTACTGAACATTGTTACAACACAATTCACACATCTTACTGAATTTCTTTTTTTCTCCAAAATACTGAATCCGCTAGAGGGGGGTGCGCATTATACATGGGTGCACACTATACTCAAGAAAATATGGTACTCATGATTGCAAACAAGCTAGGAAGGCAAGGAAAAATGCTCAACACTATTTCTGTCGACATCCTGTGGTCCATAATTTGAATGAATATAAAATCTTAAATGGTAAAGCCAGACAAACATTTAAACAAAATAAACACCTATCTTGGCATAACTATGTTACAAAAATAAATTCACGGACACCAAAGGATGGAACATGATCCAAAAGATCAAAGGTAAGGGTTCCAAATCAAGCATCCACCATCTTAAAAATGGGGATGAATTGCTTACAGATAGTTCAGATATTGCTAATAAACTGGGAGAAACTTTCACAACACATTATTCCTCAACTAACTATGTATCTAAATTTAAAAAATACCAACAGAAGCAGGAAAAGACAAAAATTAATTTTACATCAGATAATGGAGAAGATGACAATGAAATATTTTCCATTCATGAGCTCCATACTGCCCTTGGGCAAGCTCGTGATACTGCTACAGGAGCTGATAACATACATTATCAAATCATGAAACTTTTACTGGAACCTTGTTTAGAAACTCTTTTGTTACTATTTGACGATATTTGGACATCTGTTAAGTTTCCTTCATCATGGCATGATGCCATAGTTGTTCCCATACCAAAACTGGGACGGGATCATACTGGTACCTCAAATTATAGAACCATTTCATTAACAAGCTGCATTTGCAAAACCATGGAACGCATGGTCAATAATAGATTGACATGGTACTTAGAATCCAATAATTTAATAACAAATATTCAAAGTGGTTTTCGGAAAAATCGCAGTAGAGTCATTCGTTAAGAATGCCATTGTGAACAAACAACATGCAGTATCTATCTTTTTCAATCTAGAAAAGGCATATCACTCTGCATGGAAGCACGGTATTTAAAAAAGATTTACACAATTTTGGATTGCGAGGCCTCAATTTATATCCAACTTTTTAACAGATAGACAATTTCAAGTTCGCGTGGGTTCTACCCTGTCTGATCATTATAATCAGGACCAGGCAGTCCCCAAGGCAGTATTTTGTCTGTCTCTCTGTTTAGTATTGAACTAAATAGTTTCTCTAAAGTTTTAAATGAATAACTTGAAGGATCACTTTTTGTGGATGATTTGAACATATCTTGTCGTGGTAAAAATATGCAAACTATCGAAGGACAACTGCAATTATGTTTACATAAATTTTCTAAATCTAAAACATATTGTATTCACATTTGTAGGAAATACAAACCTCATAGAGACCCAGAATTAGTTTTGGGTGGCAATCCTATTAAGGTTGTCAATGAGGCAAAGTTCTTGGGTATAATGTTTGACAGACATTTGACATTTTTACCTCACATCAAACATTTAAAAAATAGATGCCTGAAGGCCCTAGACTTGCTGAAAGTCGTGGGTGGGGAATCAGAAAACTCTACTCCACCTGCACTCATAACTGATTTGCTCAAAAATAGATTAGGGCTCCATTGTCTATGGTGGAGCCTGTAAAAGTAATTTGAAAATACTCGATACCATTCCTCATGAAGGCCTGAGGCTTTGCCTAGGTGCCTTCAGAACTTCTCCCATTAACAGTCTGTATGTAGAGACTAAAATTAGCATTGCAATATATCATAAAACTATATATTCCAATCCATCTAATCCTGCATATGAATGTGTTTTTCACACTTCTTATGAGGATTTGTATGGAAAAAAACATCGCTTATTCCACCACTTGGAATAAGAATAAAACCTGCCATTTCTGATGCAAACATTAACTTTACAGATATATTTGTCTTCTCCTCCGTGGCAGTTCATAAAGCCACAGGTCAATCTGACGTTAACCAACCTAAAGAAATCAGATACAAATCAGCTACTTTATCAGCAAAAATATAAAGAATTAAGAGGCACCTATAATCCTGACAAGTCTCTATTTACAGACGGATCCAAAGACGGTGGTGCAGTTACTAGTAGTCAGTTGGCAAGGGGTGAAAAACAAGATTTTCGTTCCCACATTTCCCTGTATACCTTAAACCTTGTCTATTGTATAAAGGAGGTATCTGTACACAATTGTCATTGGGTAGTAAGCTTGCAAGTGTGTGCAGGAATTTTCAGGGGGTCAAAATTGCATAAATTGAAGGAAAAATGCATACTTTGACAAAATTGGCTGTAACATTTTCATTAAGTCATTAAATTATCCAAATTAAGTCTTTGATTACAGGTAATAGGTTCGGTTATCTGAATTTGGCAAACATTTTGTTTCATTTAACTGTTATTCTAATTCTCAGTGGAAACTTTGGTAAAAATCATGTTTTTTTACTTCATTTTCAAATCTTGTGAGTAGGTAAAACACTAATTCCATTGAATTGTGACAATAAAACCACTATAACTGGGTATTAAAATCTGCCTTAACCATTGTACTATCCTATACAAAAAACAAAATGAAAATATATTACATAGGGGTTGAGATATTGTATACAATGTTACCCCACCCCCCAAAAACCAATTTTGATGAAAATTGCTTATTGAGTTATGGTGGTAGATGATGTTGCTGTAGTGGATGAGTGGGATAATTGCAACAATGCCTAAACACACCAAAATAGTAAACTCAGAAAGAAAAATTATGTTTCAAGTTTTTCTGTGAGCATTTATGGTGGCCATCTTGAATTTCAAGATGGCCGCCATTTTGACCTGTTTTTAAAAACAAGATCTTATATAGTTCTTCAACATGGTCATGTAATATATCATATGAAAGCTTTTTACATTGTCTTTTCAATGATGTACATTATTCACTGACTCCTGTGGTAAATTGACCCCCAACAATGAAAAAAGGAAATATTGAAAGCTAATTTCTCTCGTGACTTCAACCCATACCCAAATTTAGATTTATATTGAAATGGACATATTTTCACTCAAAATTGTAGATATACAGCACTTTAGTTCTACAACATGGTCATGTAATATATCATTTGGAAGCTTTTTTACATTGTCTTTTTAATGATGTACCTTATTCACTGACTTCTGTGGTAATCTTATCCCCCAATAATACAACAAATGATATATCGAAAGCTAATTTCTCTAGCAACACCAACCAACCTCCAAAGTCGTATTTTAATAAAATGGACATCGTTTCACTCACAAATTGTAGATAAATTGCACTTTTGTCTGAGCATTTCACTAGTTTATCGTTCGAGTGAAAAAAACCATGAGAATACTTGAGTATTATGAAGTATTAAAGATTACATCACAGAGTCAAGGGCTGTGAAATAATGTCACCTCTAGTCACCGTCAGAGTCCATCTCTTCTGGAAAGGTAGGTAAGTTGTTTCTGTTTAGGCATGACATAGCACAACTGCATCCAAGGGAACATGTTCTTGGCGCAGCAACACCTGGATGAGGAGCATCTGCCTGTTGTGCATTTACATGTGAGCAATTCTAGACACAGTGCTGGCATTCGTTTCTGGCTCATTGGGATGGTTTCTATGACATCCTCAGTAGATGACCACCTATACTCTTCTGGTGGTGGAATGTCAGCCTTTCCTTTGTGTGCAGAACACCACGTGATGCACTGGTGCTGACATCTGAGTAGAGGTTGTGTGGTGGGAGTTCCTCTAGGTCTCCAACTCTGTGGAACATGTCAGCTGTAAGTGTATTAATGCTAGTTCCAGTCGATGCTGGATTGTACACTTTGACAACAAATGTTTCTGTCTTTTTCATGTTGAAGGCACCAGTTTCTTCTGTTGGTTAGAACAAATCTGATTGTGCGATAAATATGTTCCAGGTCGACTTCTTGCCATTACCACTGAACTGGCTTGTTGTGTCACAACCATGACCGCATGGAATGCTGGTAGAGTTGCTACAACATCTTGAGTGAGAGATTGATGTACATCATCAACTTGTATGAATAGTAGGTCCTTTGCAGTACCTGTACCCACCTATATCTGATTTGGTAGATTTGGTATCGCTGCAGATTGATCTAAGGAAGATATTACATCATCATGGTATGAATCGAGGTGACAAGCTTTTGTCAGAGTTCACTGACAATCGATTGGCGGATAATGCTAAGAGTATTCATGACAAAATATCAGAAGTGTGTCCAACAGTACATGTTCCGCACTGTACATCATGCAGATATCAAAGAAGTCAACTCAAACCAATACCTTTAAGCAAGGAAGACAACGTTTCAGAAGGTTGCTGAGTGCCACCCTCAGTGGAATAGAAGTAAACGTACCACATCTTCTAACACATGAGCTGTCCCAGACCCCACCTTCCCTGGCAACAACAGATGGCCTACTTTGTACAACAAAGCTGCATTATCACATTTGCTTGCAGATTCTCATGGTACCATCAACTGATGACACATAATGCATTGTTATTTCTGGCATGGCTCTTGTACAGGTTATAGGCAAACCAAGCAAAGCTAGGCCCTTTGGAGATTTGGCTGATGTTTTCAATTGGAATGTGCTGAAGAACTTCGGTGAAACTTGTACTTAAGTCGATGATGTCTTTGACCAATATGTTGCAAAGTCAGTAAAATCTGCAACTCGGACAAAAAGAGGTGATCGATCAAAGAAAACTTGAAGAATAATAGATAAATGAGACATCCTTCTGCTGGCTACATTGTCCAGTTTTATTGAAATGAACAAGCAAAATTTGATACAATTCTTGACCACATAATTGCACACACAGGCACAGCATCTCCATCATAATCATCAAATCATCATCATTGCAGGTGGATTAAGCAGCCCAATTACAGCAGTATCTTCCATAGATCAATCTGAAGCAATGCCAAATCTACTGTCAACACATAAAGAGGCAGCTACACGAATGGTGATCAATGTCATGGATGCCTCCTGCAATGGATACGACCACAGTGTCATTAACAGCTGAGACACTGATGTTAGAGTACAGTTGACGCATCATAAACATCGTTTTCTGCTCAGATATGAATGGGTGCATATCAGTTGATGATGTACATCAATCTCTCATTCTCTCAGATATTGTAGCAGCTCTACCAGCATTCCATGCGGTCACAGGTTGTGGACCTGGAACATATTTATCGCACAACCATATTTGTTGCAACCAACAGAAAAAACTGGTGCCTTCAACATGAAAGAGACAGACTCACTTGTCATCAAAGTGTACAATCCAGCATCGACTGCAAGTAGCATTAATACACTTACAGCTGACATGTTCCACAGAGTTGGAGACCTAGAGGAACTCCTACCACACAACCTCTACTCAGATGTCAACACATTTGCATCACGTGGTGTTCCGCACACAAAGGACATTCCACCACCAGAAGGGTATAGGTGGATGTCTACAGACGATGTCACAGAACCCATCCCAATGACCCAGGAATGAATGCCAGCACTGTGTCTAGAATTGCTCACCTGTAAATGCACAACAGGCAGATGCTCCTCATTCAGGTGTAGCTGCGCCAAGAACATCATGGGATATTCCCATGGATGCAGTTGTGCTATGTCATGCCTAAACAGAAACAATTTAACTTACCTACCTCTCCAGATGCGACGGACTCTGACGGTGACATTATTTCACATTTTATTTTTAATACTTAATAATACTACAAGTATTCTCATGTTTGTTTCTTCACTCAAATTATAAACTAGTGAAATGCTCAGACAAAAGTGCTGTATATCTACAGTTTTGAGTGAAAATATGTCCATTTTAATTTAAATCTAAATTTGGGTATGGGTTGAAGTCACGAGAGAAATTAGCTTTCAATATTTCCTTTTTTCATTGTTGGGGGTCAATTTACCACAGGAGTCAGTGAATAATGTACATCATTGAAAAGACAATGTAAAAAGCTTTCATATGATATATTACATGACCATGTTGAAGAACTATATAAGATCTTGTTTTTAAAAACAGGTCAAAATGGTGGCCATCTTGAAATTCAAGATGGCCACCATAAATGCTCACAGAAAAACTTGAAACATAATTTTTCTTTCTGAGTTTACTATTTTGGTGTGTTTAGGCATTGTTGCAATTATCCCACTCATCCACTACAGCAACATCATCTACCACCATAACTCAATAAGCAATTTTCATCAAAATTGGTTTTTGGGGGGTGGGGTAACATTGTATACAATATCTCAACCCCTATGTAATATATTTTCATTTTGTTTTTTGTATAGGATAGTACAATGGTTAAGGCAGATTTTAATACCCAGTTATAGTGGTTTTATTGTCACAATTCAATGGAATTAGTGTTTTACCTACTCACAAGATTTGAAAATGAAGTAAAAAAACATGATTTTTACCAAAGTTTCCACTGAGAATTAGAATAACAGTTAAATGAAACAAAATGTTTGCCAAATTCAGATAACCGAACCTATTACCTGTAATCAAAGACTTAATTTGGATAATTTAATGACTTAATGAAAATGTTACAGCCAATTTTGTCAAAGTATGCATTTTTCCTTCAATTTATGCAATTTTGACCCCCTGAAAATTGTTGCACACACTTGCAAGCTTACTACCCAATGAAAATTGTGTACAGATACCTCCTTTATACAACATAAAAGGTTTAAGGTATACAGGAAAATGTGGGAACGAAAATCTAAACTAAGCCTCTTTTCTGCTGGTGGCCAACTGACTATATTACCACTGTCATTGGATCCAACACCATATCATCGAGAATACCAGATGCCAGTTCAATTTTTACAGCAGAATCAAAGGCAATTTTAACAGCTCTCCAATATATACATACACAATCTGAACATAAACAGTTCATCAAATTTTCTGATTCCCTTTCCTGTCTTCAAGCAATTAAGAATATTTCCTGTGACCATCCACTTTTACTTGAAATCATAGAACTACATAATGATCTTGCTACTGGCCAATATGAAATGGTCTTTTGTTGGTTACCCAGCCATGTTGGTATTATTGGTAACACAATGGCAGATGCTGCTGCAAAGGCAGTGTTCAACAAATCTGTGACACCACTTCTAATCCCATACAGTGATTATTAGCCTGCTATGAGATATTACATCAAAGATCTAATGCAAAAGAAGTGGGACACCCAAGTAGGTATCAATAAATTACCTGAAATTAAATCGTCTGTAGGTTATACCTACTTGTGTTGTCAGTCCTGATTTGACGATTATGCGACAATGTCATATTGGCCACTCCAGATATACAAACGACTATTTGTTGAAAGGTGAGGATCCTCCGTTCTGTATCCCTTGTGATGAAAGAATCACGGTCAAGCATGTCCTGCTTGACTGTATTGATTGTTGGCAGGTTTTTCAATATGTTTATTATGTTTAACCCTTGATAGTCACGATATGGCTGAAACATGGCTGATGTGACTTAAAATTTTAACTCACTCACTCACTCAGTATATATGTGAAATATTTTTACCATTTTACATCACCTCACCAACACTTGTTGCTAACTGAGTTTGTTCAAAGTTTCCAGTCTTTTCAATCTACCCAATCATCAGGTTCAATGCTCTCCATTGAAGTCGAATCAAGAATCACTGGTTCAGTGCCAGAATCGAGTCAGGCTTTAACAACAAACAAAAGACTTCTCAGAAAAGCCTTCAATCAAGGTGCAGGTGTTTTTTCCCCTCAAATCTGTGGGGTTAACCATGAAAATCTTAACTGATTTTTTCATGCAATACATTTTCAGTACTGGATTATTATGAAATGCTCAAATAAAACACATACCTGTCGCACTGCTTTCTCCACAGTTGCAGCATCTTTGGATAAATCAGCTGATATGCAGATGATCCGCTGCCAAACACACCACAACACAAACATATCAACAGAAGCTAGTACAGTAATGTAAGGTGAGGTGAACACATGGATGCCGCAGCATGTTGAGCAGTGGCCAAACATTATCACAGTTATAGGGAGTCTGGGAGATAAACTATGCAGCAAACCATCAGGTCTACCATGCCTTGCAATTCCTGTTGGAGATTGATAATCTGATAAGTTAAGGATCGACCACTGGTATTTTAATATCCTTTGATGAAATTTTGTCATAACAATACAAATACTTCAACAGAAACACGCCATGTTTTTCTAAATGTTATTCTCAATTATATTTTACCCAAAATGAAAAGAAGGAAACATGAATGAAGATACATAACTGGAAGATGATTCATGATCGACTCTCTGAATGGAAAACGAAATCAGTCAACAGGTTTTGAAATCTGACATTTCCTTGTGGACTACCAGTTTTATCTTTGCACACTGGTGGAAATGAAAATTTTCACAAAACATATTTTTTTCTCAAAACATTTTTATTTCCTGTAAAAGCTGGTATACTTTGTTACACTTGCAGTAAATGATGGAATTGAGGTCAATCAAAGTAGGGGGTACAAATGTGGCATTTATTACAGGCGCTTCTTTCAGTTTGTGGCCCAAAAAGGTCAGAGATTTTACTAGTGTCTAATATGGTTCATAGGTGAATATCCTGAGTCCGATGCTCAACCCCATTTCCCCTCACCTTACCACACTACAATCCAAGGTGTGAATTCCATTTCCATTAAACCTGTTCCAGTATTATTGATTATACTATGAACATTTCAGTTTTCTTAATATTCTTGATAACTTTTATTACATAGTCTGTTGACATACTATAGGTGAGGTGAAATTGGGTTTAACGTTGCGTCCAAGATTATTGCACTTATATAGCGACGTGCATGCACGTGTGTGTGTGTGTGTGTGTGTGTGTGTGTGTGTGTGTGGCTGCTTGTACTAGTCCGGACTGATGCCGATTTATAGTGCTAGCACACTGAGATACCATGCCGCAGTTTAACATGAATACCCCACTCAGACACAGTATACTGACACCGAGCCGACCAGTCCTTGTTTTAGCCCCTTAATGCCGAGGGACAGACAGGGTAACAACAAGTACCATCTTTTAACGTCTTTTGGTATGATGCGGCCGGGGATCAAACCCTGGACCTTCCGCTCTCCGGCGGACGCTCTACCACTAGACCACGGAGGTGGTCTCTTGACATAGTATAACCTATCATACTATAAATATACCAATTTGTACCAATTATTTAATTATCTTCTCAAAATTGGTAGTTGTGAAAGAATGGCTGGAATGGAATATCATTTGTAGCCGTTCTGTCAATCTCTACATTTTCTGTGTGTTAACCAAGATTAAATTCCAAAGTTTAAATTGTATTGCCAGTCACAGAACAAATTCCAATATTTTTTGATGGATCAAAACTCAATTTAGTCCAGTTACTCCACAAGCAATGAATAAAGCTGTTCATGATTTCTTTTGCAGTTTGAAAGCTTGTTGCTGATTCATCTAGGAATATTTGGGTGTCATCAGACTATTGGCCACGTTAATTTTCATGGTTGAAATGATATCTTCATTGTTTTCTTAACATACATTCTATAACTTCAAGGCAAATTGGAAGAGTTAGGGTAACTACGAGTCTCCTTGTCTACAGCCACTTTCATTAACAAAGGATAAGTAGCCATTCTGAGTAATGTAGGAACTAATTATCATGAACATACATGGTGGTGCTTGACTTGACATCCGGTATGCATCATAAACATACATGGTGGTGCTTTGAATGACATCTGGTATGCATCATGAACTTACATGGTGGTGCTTGACTTGTCATCCGGTATGCATCATGAACATACATGGTGGGGCTTTGAATGACATCCGGTCAGGCATCACAAACATACATGGAGGAGCTTGACATGACATCCGGTATGCATCATGAACATACATGGTGGTGCTTGACTTGACATCCGGTATGCATCATGAACATACATGGTGGTGCTTGACTTGTCATCCGGTACGCATCATGAACTTACATGGTGGTGCTTGACTTGTCATCCGGTATGCATCATGAACATATATGGTGGTGCTTGACTTGACATCCGGTATGCATCATGAACATACATGGTGGTGCTTGACTTGACATTCCGTATGCATCATGAACATACATGGTGGTGCTTTGAATGACATCCGGTAGGCATCACAAACATACATGGAGGAGCTTGACATGACATCCGGTATGTATCATGAACATACATTGTGGTGCTTCGCATGACATCCTGTATGCATCATGAACATACATGGTGGTGCTTGACATAACATCCCGTATGCATCACAAACATACATGGAGGACGTTGACTTGATATCCGGTACGCATAATGAACATACATGGTGGTGCTTTGCATGACATCCAGTACGCATTACAAACATACATGGAGGAGCTTGACATGACATCCGGTATGCATTACAAACATACATGGAGGACGTTGACTTGACATCCGGTACGCATAATGAACATACATGGTGGTGCTTTGTATGACATCCGGTATGCATCATGAACATACATGGTGGTGCTTTGCATGATATTCGGTATGCATCATGAACATACATGGTGGTGCTTTGCATGACATTCGGTACGCATCATGAACATACATGGAGGACGTTGACTTGACATCCAGTATGCATCATGAACTTACATGGAGGAGCTTGACATGACATCCGGTACGCATCATGAACATACATGGTGGTGCTTTGCATGACATTCGGTATGCATCACAAACATACATGGAGGAGCTTGACATGACATCTGGTATGCATCATGAACATACATGGTGGTGCTTTGCATGACATTCGGTATGCATCACAAACATACATGGAGGACGTTGACTTGACATCCAGTATGCATCATGAACTTACATGGAGGAGCTTGACATGACATCCGGTACGCATCATGAACATACATGGTGGTGCTTGACATGACATCCGGTACGCATCATGAACTTACATGGTGGTGCTTGACATGACATCCGGTATGCATCATGAACATACATGGAGGAGCTTGACTTGTCATCCGGTACGCATCATGAACTTACATGGTGGTGCTTGACATGACATCTGGTATGCATCATGAACTTACATGGTGGTGCTTGACATGACATCCGGTACGCATCATGAACTTACATGGTGGTGCTTGACATGACATCCGGTATGCATCATGAACATACATGGAGGAGCTTGACTTGTCATCCGGTACGCATCATGAACTTACATGGTGGTGCTTGACATGACATCCGGTATGCATCATGAACATACATGGTGGAGCTTGACATGACATCCGGTACGCATCATGAACTTACATGGTGGTGCTTGACATGACATCCGGTATGCATCATGAACATACATGGAGGAGCTTGACTTGTCATCCGGTATGCATCATGAACATACATGGTGGTGCTTGACATGACATCCGGTATGCATCATGAACATACATGGTGGAGCTTGACATGACATCCGGTACGCATCATGAACTTACATGGTGGTGCTTGACATGACATCCGGTATGCATCATGAACATACATGGAGGAGCTTGACTTGTCATCCGGTACGCATCATGAACATACATGGTGGTGCTTGACATGACATCCGGTATGCATCATGAACTTACATGGTGGAGCTTGACATGACATCCGGTACGCATCATGAACTTACATGGTGGTGCTTGACATGACATCCCGTACGCATCATGAACTTACATGGAGGAGCTTGACTTGTCATCCGGTATGCATCATGAACTTACATGGTGGTGCTTGACATGACATCCGGTATGCATCATGAACATACATGGTGGTGCTTGACTTGACATCCGGTATGCATCATGAACATACATGGTGGTGCTTGACTTGTCATCCGGTACGCATCATGAACTTACATGGTGGTGCTTGACTTGTCATCCGGTATGCATCATGAACATACATGGTGGTGCTTGACTTGACATTCCGTATGCATCATGAACATACATGGTGGTGCTTTGAATGACATCCGGTATGCATCATGAACTTACATGGTCGTGCTTGACATGACATCCGGTACGCATCATGAACTTACATGGTGGTGCTTGACATGACATCCGGTAGGCAATACAAACATACATGATGCTTGAGATGACATCAGGTATGCATCATGAACATACATGGTGGTGCTTGACTTGACATCCGGTACGCATCATGAACATACATGGTGGTGCTTTGCATGACATCCGCTATGTATCACAAACATACATGGAGGTGCCTGACATGACATCCGGTATGCATCACGAACATACATGATGCTTGACATGAAATCCAGTATGGATCATGAACATACATGATGCTTGACTTGACATGCAGTTTGCATCACAAACATATACTCTGCTAAAAAAGAAACATAAAATCGTAAATATGTGACAGAATGTTGCTGACATCCATACAAATTTAATACCAAAAATGAATTGGTCATTTCTGCTTGGATTGGGATTGATTTGTGTGGAAAGAATGAGGAACTGCAGAAATTTGGTGAAAAGATGGAAAAAAATCGCAAAAACACAGCCACATGAGAAGCCATGCACGTGCAACATCACTTGTTGGGCTATAAAACCCTTAGGTTTTCCTTTGCATGCCATCACAATCTTACAGCAAGTGAACAGCAAAAATATGCCACGACTGAAGGAAGCACAGTGAACAATGCCATCAGCTGACTGCAAACAGAGAATCATAATCATTTGTAGCCAGGTTTTTCCACAAAGCACTAAGCACCATTACAAGACTGTGGAACTGTTACCGAACAAACGGGACAACATGTCATCTTCCCAGATCTGATCGACCATGTATCACCAGTGTTCACGCTGGCTTTTGAAACTGTCAGTCCTGCTGGAATGCATACTCTAAGACATTCCCAGTCCCTACTAATTTTTGTCAGTCCCAACTTTCAACAAATAAAAAAATGTATGGAAATTACCTGTTTTTAATTCTTTCAAAATCATGTTCAATGCAATGATGTCTCTGAAGTAACGTTGTAGGATCTACACGTCATTTACACACAGTTCAGTCAAAATGGTCTCTCTTTTTAAAAATATTTTGAGACTAAGTCACGACAAATATATATTCAACTTCAAGCAAAGTGAAATGTTATTTCCTTGCACATGGAGAAACCCCTATGATAACACACAAGCTGACTTTGTTTGAAAAGTAACTTTTCACAAGATAAGATGTCAGGAGTCACAAGCCTTGGAAGCCAGGGAGCTCCAACTTCTGTCACGCCCAGTTCATACTTTGAATGTTCTCAACTTTCTCATGAAAGATGCCCACTGTATTGGCTATATGACATGTTGTGAGCCTTAATCATCACATGTAATTTACCAATGTTTTAGTGGCAGTTAAGGTCTTCCTGATCTTCGAGACCTCTCTGCCCCTCTTGATCCCCTCTGCCCACCTATTAATACTAGATAATAGTGCATCATCCTCTAAAGACAACATTTCCCCACACGACTGTTGGAGTTAGCCCTTTCAGTTGGAGTCACTTGATGACAGTGTGGGAGTTGTTAATTTTATTTATCTTCATAAACATAGAATACCTCGTCACTTTGATGCCTGCATAAATATGCTGCCTAGATGTGTATTTGGTTCAAATACAGCCTGTAAGCATGGAAAGTACATAATACATGGAAACGGTTAAGGGTGTACTATACATCATTCATATTTATGCTCAGAACTTTTCAGCCACCCTATGTTAAACCATGTAATAACTAAACATTTTCTTGAGGCCAACATCGCAAGAACCTGATTAGATTTGTCCTGAAGATACTTTTCAACTTCTTCTTTGGCTTCTTGCAACTTTATCTGAAACATACAAAATACAAAATAAATACAGATGATGACCTCTGAAGAAATAGGATATACATGTACCAGGAATTGTTGTTTCAGGAATAGCATAGTGGCAGACCCTTACCCTTTGTTCATGTTTCAAAATGTCATGTTTTCTGTTTGTCTGAAACCTGGTGATTCCACTTATTACTACAGTATTACATTTCAACACTGTGTTACTACTAAGCCTTTAAAGGCATTTAGAAGAGAAACACACAAGGAAGAGAATTTATGGATGTCAACTTCCTTATTATGAGGAACACAACGTTTTGGAGTATATACAATAAATGCTATGAGGCAGAGAACATATATATGTACCTGTAAGAACAACAAAAGTAAAAGATAACAAAGGTGGAACTTAACAAGGGAAGCCAACAGATAATTGGCGCTGATAGATGATTAACAAAGGGACCAGAACATCCACTACAACTCCTGTCACCATCCCAAGATAAAACAAGCCATCATAGCCACCCTCACCCGACATGCCCAATCCATTTGTCACCCTGATGCCATCAGCAGTGATCTGGACCATCTCAAGAAACCTTCACTGCCCTCAACAATTGCACTGCCCACCTTGTCTCCAAAAACATCCGCAAGACCCTCAAGAACTCTGACTCCAGACATAAACCTGCCCCGACACCCATCAGAATCTACCAAGGCTCTGTCACTCATCAGATTTCCTGCCTCATCAAGAACAGAGCCAACATAGACGTCACATATTCTAGCGGCAAGTCCATCAAGACCCATCTACGAGCCAATGGCAGAGGCATATACCAGATGCCCTGCACCTGTGGCCACCAATACATTGGAGGAACCCTCAGAACCCCCAACATCAGACTCAAAGAACATCAGACCTATGTCAACAAACTAGACCTGAAATCCTCTATTTCCGAACACATCCTGAAGAACCAAGACCATAACATCATGTGGGAAACAACCAAGGTCCTGTCTACCAACAACAACATCTGGCGACAAAGAAAACTACAAAAAGTCCTTGACATCAGGAGACACCAGCCAGCCATGAACCGTGACAAGGGAACATATCTGCTGGTCATCGGTGTCGTGCCTGGTTCGCGAAAATCCAATTTTGCCTAGTATCAGTAAAGCGAAAACCCAAGTTGGGGTAATTGTCCTACGAAAGTGAGAAATGAGTAATTGCTATAAAAACACCGGATTACCATAGTTTAGATTCAAGCGGCTTTGCAGGTAAGAAAATAATGCACATGATCATGATGATAATAATCTTAAAGACATAGACTCAAAAGACTATTCAGTTATTTATTTTACTTATTATTATTACTTATTATTACTAACAATAACATCGAGGGGTGGAATCACAAACTCAACAAACTTGCCAGGAAGAGCCATCCGAACATTTTTGAAGTTGTTACGCTATTTCAAAGAGAACAATCCAACGTAGAAGTCGCCATTCAATGAATTGGAGCCCACTGGTCAGCACCACCCAGAAAGAGAAGATACCGGCTGATTGACAACCGTCTTCAGGCTCTGAAAGACAATCTCGTCAACAACATCATCTGCGAAGTTGAGTATACAGATCACGTTGGTGACCTGATCCACTTAGAGTTAATGACTTGAACACAACGTGTATGCCAGTGCAACCGCAAATTTATTATAGAATGTATTTATGTATTTACCATTTTATTTTAAGATATAAGTAATTGTTGTTTTTGTAGAAATTATAATGTACATCTATGAAATATTAAAGTATTAGAGTTATTAAATTTGTTAAATGTTAAGTACTTTTGTGCAACTATAGTATACTTCAGCTTCTAATAAATTACTACTGTGATTACGGTATACGCATTTCTGTGTTTTTCTTGTAATTTGAGAGTCCCGGTAAAGCAATATCCTGTGTTTACTGTAGCGTGGCCAGTCTTACTGTAGCTTCACGAAAGTGAAGAAATTTTAGAGTTGATTATGGCTAGGTTTCGCTCTTCCGGCCCAGAACCCGGTCATCTCCCATTTGTCAGACAGCTTCAAACAACAACTTTTTATGGTTGAGGGCACATCAGGTGTGTGATATATTCCCTTAAATCTGAATAGACGAGTCCTGTTGTCAACAACTGTGTGACAAAATAAAATAAAATTTTCTATAAATCAGTGTTCATTCTTGATTTATCCTTGCTTTATACTTTGGAATATATTGCTCAGTTAAAGGAGTTTTACATTATATACATGAAGTATAATACACACCATATACATTATATATAATGACCATCAATCATTAAAAATATATAGTACTATTTATTTCCACATCAATGTCAATGTACTGTCAGTCATATAAGTTAAATAATGGAATTCATCACCTATGTCTGATAGTTTACAGAGTTTCCTTTCGGTTAAAGGTATTTTTCTCCATCTCCCAGTTTGAATAGGTAGATTCTGGTTACAAGTTCTAAACTTATGTAAGACTTGTAAAACATTTTCCTACAGTACGTTTAGATAATATTGAAAATTTAGGCAATTATTTTTTATGATACTAAACATTGTGCATTTTGTAGACTTATCTCTTGCACTTTTCCAACACTGTAGGTTAATGTCATTTAATTTTTCATGGACTTAATGTTTTAGATAAGTAGGATTTTTGAAACTTTGTGAAACCAGATGTAGATAGTCCAAGTTCGTCAAAAGTTCGTTTGATATATGTAATCCATTTATGTTTACATTTTCCAAATAGGTCAAATTAAATAATAGCTTGTATACAAGAAAGGATTATTTAATGTTTCCCCGGAGAGTGATTGGGCCTAAAACCTTATTATTCTCATTGTTTAATAGATGGAGCCTTCCAAGTCCCCTATGTACCATGAAATTTGGAGATTATTTTCTGAATGAGAAAAGATAATTTAGAAAATGCAAATGGACACCTAGAGTTGAGATGTTTTCAAATCCCCATACTTTGCATCCTTAGAAATGAACTGGTATAACCATACTGCCAAAAAGCTGCAGTTGTTATTTAAGTGATAAATTTAACTCTGACGACCCAGGTTGTATTCTAAGCACCATATCACAAACTTCAGTGAAAACAAACATATTTACAGTTTAACTAAGCCATTTAAAACTTCAAAGAGATTGCCAGTGTCTGGGTCATACCACTATGAGTAAAGGGGTGTATGGCAGTTAAAAAATTCTTGGGATTTATTGCTTTGATCTTTGCTGGTGCTAATTATCTAGATGGCTTCCATTTGACCATTGTCATTTCCATTCTATTACCTATAAGTGCTAATTACCCCTGGTCTCCCCTTTGCCAATTGTTTATTGTCAATCAGTGATCAGTTAAGTGTAGGCTTCCTTATATCCATTGTGAATCACCTGTCAGCACCAATAATCTGTTGGCTTCCCTTGTTAGTTTCCACCTTTGTTATCTTATTAGTTTTTTTGTTCTTACATGTACATAAATATGTTCTCTGCCTCATATCATTCATACACCTGATGAAGGAGTAAGTAAATACCCTGAAACATGGTGTTCGTCATAATAAAGAAGTTGACATCCATAAACTCATTTACTCATATATTACTACTCTCCTATACTGTATTACTACTGTAACACTTCAACACTGTATAACTACTGTTACACTTCAACACTGTATTACTAGTGTATTACACTTCAACACTGTATTACTACTGTATTACACTTCAACACTGTATTTCTACTGTATTACGCTTCAACACTGTAATACTACTGTTACATTTCAACACTGTATTACTACTGTTACACTTCAACACTGTATTACTAGTGTATTACCCTTCAACACTGTAATACTACTGTTACACTTTAAACACTGTATTACTACTGTTACACTTCAACACTGTATTACAACTGTATTACACTTCAACACTGTATTACTGCTGTTACACTTCAACACTGTAATACTACTGTTACACTTCAACACTGTATTACTACTGTGTTACCCTTCAACACTGTATTACAACTGTTACACTTCAACACTGTATTACTACTGTAACACTTCAACACTGTATTACTACTGTGTTACACTTCAACACTGTATTACTACTGTATTAAACTTCAACACTGTATTACTACTGTATAACACATCAACACTGTATTACTACTGTATTACACTTAAACACTGTATTACTAGTGTATTACACTTCAACACTGTATTACTAGTGTATTACCCTTCAACACTGTATTACTACTGTATTACACATCAACACTGTATTTCTACTGTATTACACTTCAACACTGTATTTCTACTGTATTACCTTCAACACTGTATTTCTACTGTATTACACTTCAACACTGTATTACTTGTGTATTACACTTCAACACTGTATTTCTACTGTATTACACTTCAACACTGTATTACTAGTGTAATACCCGTCAACACTATATTACTACTACTGTATTACACTTCAACACTGTATTACTACTGTATTACACTTCAACACTGTATTAGTATTGTATTACACTTCAACACTGTATTACTAGTGTATTTCCCTTTAACACTGCATTACAACTGTATTACACTTCAACACTGTATTACTACTGTATTACACTTCAACACTGTATTACTACTGGATTACACTTCAACACTGCATTACAACTGTATTACCCTTCAACACTGTATTACTACTGTATTTTACTTCAACACTCTATTACTACTGGATTACACTTCAACGCTGTATTACTATTTGAAAACCCTTCAACACTGCATTACAACTGTCTCAAACTTCAACACTCTATTACAAATGTATTACACTTCAACGCTGTATTACAACTGTATTACACTTCAACACTGTATTACTACTGTATTACACTTCAACACTGTATTACTACTGTATTACACTTCAACACTGCATTACAACTGTATTACCCTTCAACACTGTATTACAACTGTATTTTACTTCAACACTGTATTACTACTGGATTACACTTCAACGCTGTATTACTACTGGATTACTCTTCAACACTGCATTACTACTGTATTTTACTTCAACACTGTATTACAACTGTATTACACTTCAACGCTGTATTACTACTGTATTACCCTTCAACACTGTATTTCTACTGTATGACACTTCAACACTGTATTACAACTGTATTACACTTCAACACTGTAATACAACTGTATTACACTTCAACGCTGTATTACTACTGTATTACACTTCAACACTGTATTTCTACTGTATTACACTTCAACACTGTATTACTAGTGTAATACCCGTCAACACTATATTACTACTACTGTATTATACTTCAACACTGTATTACTACTGTATTACACTTCAACACTGTATTAGTATTGTATTACACTTCAACACTGTATTACTAGTGTATTTCCCTTTAACACTGTATTACTACTGTATTACCCTTCAACACTGTATTACTAGTGTATTACCGTTCAACACTGTATTTCTACTGTATTACACTTCAACACTGTATTACTAGTGTATTACACTTCAACACTGTAATACAACTGTATTACACTTCAACGCTGTATTACTACTGTATTACACTTCAACACTGTATTTCTACTGTATTACACTTCAACACTGTATTACTAGTGTAATACCCGTCAACACTATATTACTACTACTGTATTATACTTCAACACTGTATTACTACTGTATTACACTTCAACACTGTATTAGTATTGTATTACACTTCAACACTGTATTACTAGTGTATTTCCCTTTAACACTGTATTACTACTGTATTACCCTTCAACACTGTATTACTAGTGTATTACCGTTCAACACTGTATTTCTACTGCATTACATTTCAACACTGTATTACTACTGTATTACACTTCAACACTGTATTACTACTGTATTACACTTCAACGTTGTATTACTACTGTATTACTCTTCAACGCTGTTTAAGGGTGTATTACACTTCAACACTGTATTACTAGTGTATTACACTTCAACAATGTATTACTGCTGTTACACTTTAACACTGTATTACTAGTGTATTACCCTTCAACACTGTATTACTACTGTATTACCCTTCAACACTGTATTACTACTGTATTACCCTTCAACACTGTATTACTACTGTATTACACTTCAACGCTGTATTACAACTGTATTACACTTCAACACTGTATTACTACTGTATTACACTTCAACACTGTATTTCTACTGTATTACACTTCAACGCTGTATTACAACTGTATTACACTTCAACACTGTATTACTACTGTATTACACTTCAACACTGTATTACTAGTGTATTACACTTCAACACTGTATTACTACTGTATTACACTTCAACACTGTATTTCTACTGTATTACACTTCAACACTGTATTACTAGTGTATTACACTTCAACACTGTATTTCTACTGTATTACACTTCAACACTGTATTACTAGTGTAATACCCGTCAACACTATATTACTACTACTGTATTACACTTCAACACTGTATTACTACTGTATTACACTTCAACACTGTATAAGTATTGTATTTCACTTCAACACTGTATTACTAGTGTATTTCCCTTTAACACTGCATTACAACTGTATTACACTTCAACACTGAATTACTACTGTATTACACTTCAACACTGTATTACTACTGTATTACACTTCAACACTGCATTACAACTGTATTACCCTTCAACACTGTATTACTACTGTATTTTACTTCAACACTCTATTACTACTGGATTACACTTCAACGCTGTATTACTATTTGAAAACCCTTCAACACTGCATTACAACTGTCTCAAACTTCAACACTCTATTACAAATGTATTACACTTCAACGCTGTATTACAACTGTATTACACTTCAATGCTGTATTACTACTGTATTACACTTCAACACTGCATTACAACTGTATTACCCTTCAACACTGTATTACTACTGTATTTTACTTCAACACTGTATTACTACTGGATTACACTTCAACCCTGTATTACAACTGTATTACACTTCAACACTGTATTACTACTGTATTACCCTTCAACACTGTATTTCTACTGTATTACACTTCAACACTGTATTACAACTGTATTACACTTCAACACTGTAATACAACTGTATTACTCTTCAACGCTGTATTACTACTGTATTACACTTCAACACTGTATTTCTACTGTATTACACTTCAACACTGTATTACTAGTGTAATACCCGTCAACACTATATTACTACTACTGTATTATACTTCAACACTGTATTACTACTGTATTACACTTCAACACTGTATTAGTATTGTATTACACTTCAACACTGTATTACTAGTGTATTTCCCTTTAACACTGTATTACTACTGTATTACCCTTCAACACTGTATTACTAGTGTATTACCGTTCAACACTGTATTTCTACTGCATTACATTTCAACACTGTATTACTACTGTATTACACTTCAACACTGTATTACTACTGTATTACACTTCAACGTTGTATTACTACTGTATTACTCTTCAACGCTGTTTAAGGGTGTATTACACTTCAACACTGTATTACTAGTGTATTACACTTCAACGCTGTATTACAACTGTATTACACTTCGACACTGTATTACTACTGTATTACACTTCAACACTGTATTACTACTGTATTACACTTCAACACTGCATTACAACTGTATTACCCTTCAACACTGTATTACTACTGTATTTTACTTCAACACTGTATTACTACTGGATTACACTTCAACGCTGTATTACTACTGGATTACCCTTCAACACTGCATTACAACTGTCTCAAACTTCAACACTATTACAACTGTATTACACTTCAACGCTGTATTACAACTGTATTACACTTCAATGCTGTATTACTACTGTATTACACTTCAACACTGCATTACAACTGTATTACACTTCAACCCTGTATTACAACTGTATTACACTTCAACGCTGTATTACTACTGTATTACCCTTCAACACTGTATTTCTACTGTATTACACTTCAACACTGTATTACAACTGTATTACACTTCAACACTGTAATACAACTGTATTACTCTTCAACGCTGTATTACTACTGTATTACACTTCAACACTGTATTTCTACTGTATTACACTTCAACACTGTATTACTAGTGTAATACCCGTCAACACTATATTACTACTACTGTATTATACTTCAACACTGTATTACTACTGTATTACACTTCAACACTGTATTAGTATTGTATTACACTTCAACACTGTATTACTAGTGTATTTCCCTTTAACACTGTATTACTACTGTATTACCCTTCAACACTGTATTACTAGTGTATTACCGTTCAACACTGTATTTCTACTGCATTACATTTCAAAACTGTATTACTACTGTATTACACTTCAACACTGTATTACTACTGTATTACACTTCAACGTTGTATTACTACTGTATTACTCTTCAACGCTGTTTAAGGGTGTATTACACTTCAACACTGTATTACTAGTGTATTACACTTCAACGCTGTATTACTACTGTATTACACTTCAACACTGTATTACTACTGTATTACACTTCAACGCTCTATTACTACTGTATTACACTTCAACACTGTATTACTACTGTATTACACTTCAACACTGTATTTCTACTGTATTACACTTCAACGCTGTATTACTACTGTATTACACTTCAACACTGTATTTCTACTGTATTACACTTCAACGCTGTATTACTACTGTATTACACTTCAACACTGTATTACTACTGTATTACACTTCAACACTGTATTACTACTGTATTACCCTTCAACACTGTATTACTAGTGTATTACCGTTCAACACTGTATTTCTACTGCATTACATTTCAAAACTGTATTACTACTGTATTACACTTCAACACTGTATTTCTACTGTATTACACTTCAACACTGTATTACTACTGTATTACACTTCAACACTGTATTACTAGTGTATTACACTTCAACACTGTATTACTACTGTATTACACCTCAACACTGTATTTCTACTGTATTACACTTCAACACTGTATTACTAGTGTATTACACTTCAACACTGTATTACTAGTGTATTACCCTTCAGCACTGTATTACTAGTGTATTACCCTTCAACACTGTATTACTAGTGTATTACACTTCAACACTGTATTACTACTGTATTACACTTCAACAGTGTATTACTACTGTATTACACTTCAACACTGTATTACTATTGTATTACACTTCAACACTGTATTACTACTGTTACACTTCAACACTGTATTACTGTATTACCCTTCAACATTGTATTACTACTGTATTACACTGCAATAGCCAAAGGAATCTCACTTGGTTGCGTGCTAGGAGAGATATGTTGGCTCCTCGCTTTGCCACCTCAATTGCCAAAGCTTTTCCAATTCCACTTGATCCCCCAGTTATCTGTGAATAAATTGTAACATGTCTGTATCTGAATAGGTGCTTCATACTAAGCCCACAAAATTAACGTGCTTGTCAAGTTGCCATATTTAATCTTAATGCAAATGGTGCTCATATCTAAGTGCATCTCAGAAGGAGAAACATGAACATTCTAATAATTGCAATGGGATTACCAGTATTTAATACTGAAATTCCTGTGTTTATATATTTACAAGGTGATCTCGTCAGTTGGTAAGGAGTGTGCCTGAGGTACAATGCTATTGTATGTAAATGTCATTTTTAGATTCCAAAGTTAATGAGAAATACTTCGTGCTTGTTGACATGTGTTCCCAATGGATGTCATTGACTAGGTTTCCACACACCATTATGTTTTAGTAATATTTCAATGTTGATGTCAAATTTCCGATGTATATGAATTGTCTTGATATTTAATTTTGAGGTTTAATCAAATTAAACCATACAAATGAAAGCAGAGTAAGTTTTTCTCCTTATTTTGAGATTCATCGTCCTATTTTAACAAAAGTCATGCTGTCACCTGCTGCTATAGGCCTATTATTGGCATCCAACAAACATGGTGGATGGGGATCCAGTATTCTGTGTGTGTATCCAAAAAATATCTGAAATATCTGTTTTATATACTTATTATCCCCAACTACATGTACACATAGTACTAATAAGTATATTTCATACAATAATATATAGATGAAAAGAAAATGAAGTCAGACTGAAGTATTAGGTACACCAACAGAATACTGGATACCTAGATATGCTATATTTGTTTGTTGCTACTAATATAGCAGCACACAGCACTGGGACTGTAAAATAGTGCGATTAAGCTAGCCCACCAAACCCTTTGTTGTTTTAGCCAGGCCAGGCCATATTATTTCAAAATGCCATTGCCAAATCATGATTTCGCAAATCACGGGAATTCATAGGTGTACACATTCACTTCATGTTTTTACACAGTAGGAAGGCAAACTTTTATGTGGATACTGATAGTCTGATAGGGCCTAGTTATGTTGATACTTCGCTAATCGCAAATGGACTCTACAGCCGGGAATTGCTAACCTTCGATGATAATCTTACCAGAACATGTTCTTTAATTAGTTCCAACGGTTTTGGTGCAATGAGAGGAGAAGCAAGATATAAGATGATTAAGAAAACAACAAACAACGCCACTGCAATTCCAAACCACATCTTGTTGACGTGAAAACCGAAAACAAGAACCTGTCTGCTTTTGTAGGGGAGGCTACTCCCAGCACTTATACTTATGGCTTGCCACTAAAATATGAATGCGACAGCTTGGTTCGCACTGTATTACTAGTGTATTACCCTTCAGCACTGTATTACTAGTGTATTACCCTTGACATCAACATTGAAATATTACTAAAACATAATGGTGTGTGGAAACCTAGTCAATGACATCCATTGGGTATCTATAACACGGGAGGTATCTACAACACAGGGGTATTTACAACACAGGGGGTATCTACAACACAGGGGGTATCTACAACACAGAGGGTATCTACAACACAGGGGGTATCTACAACACAGGGGGTATCTACAACACAGGGGATATCTACAACACAGGGGGTATCTACAACACAGGGGGTATCTACAACACAGGGGGTATCTACAACACAGGGGGTATCTAAAACACAGGGGGTATCTAAAACACAGGGGGTATCTACAACACAGTGGACATCTATAACACAGAAGGTATAGATCTACAACACGGGATATCTACAACACAGGGGGTATCTACAACACAGGGGTATCTACAACACAGGGGGCATCTTCAACACAGGAGATATCTACAACACAGGGGTATCTACAACACAGGGGTATCTACAACACAGGGGTATCTACAACACAGGGGGTATCTCTAATACAGGAGGAATCTATAACGAAGTGGGTATCTCTAACATGAGGTATTTATTTATAACAAAGGAGGTATCTACAACAATGGAGGTATCTACAACACAGGGGAAATCTCTAATACAGGGGGTATCTACAACACAGAGGGTATCTACAACACAGGGGGTATCTACAACACAGAGGGTATCTACAACACAGGGGGTATCTACAACACAGGGGGTATCTACAACACAGGGGGTATCTAAAACACAGGGGGTATCTAAAACACAGGGGGTATCTACAACACAGGGGGTATCTACAACACAGGGGTATCTACAACACAGGGGTATCTAAAACACAGGGGGTATCTACAACACAGGGGGTATCTAAAACACAGGGGTATCTAAAACACAGGGGGTATCTACAACACAGGGGGTATCTACAACACAGGGGTATCTAAAACACAGGGGGTATCTAAAACACAGGGGGTATCTACAACACAGTGGGTATCTATAACACAGAAGGTATAGATCTACAACACGGGATATCTACAACACAGGGGGTATCTACAACACAGGGGTATCTACAACACAGGGGGCATCTTCAACACAGGAGATATCTACAACACAGGGGTATCTACAACACAGGGGTATCTACAACACAGGGGTATCTACAACACAGGGGGTATCTCTAATACAGGAGGAATCTATAACGAAGTGGGTATCTCTAACATGAGGTATTTATTTATAACAAAGGAGGTATCTACAACAATGGAGGTATCTACAACACAGGGGACATCTCTAATACAGGAGGCATCTACAACACAGGGGGTATCTTTAGTACAGAAAGTGTCTATAACGAAGGGCGTATCTATAACACAGGTGTATCTACAACACATAGGGTATCTATAACACGGGAGGTATCCAAAACACAAGGGGTATCTACAACACAGGGGGTATCTAAACACAGGGGGTATCTACAACACAGGGGGTATCTAAACACAGGGGGTATCTACAACACAGGGGGTATCTACAACACAGGGGGTATCTAAAACACAGGGGGTATCTTAAACACAAGGGATATCTAAACACGGGAGGTATCTAAACACAGGGGGTATCTAAAACACAGGGGGTATCTACAACACAGGGGGTTTCTTCAACACAGAAGATATCTCTAATACAGAAGGCATCTACAACACAGGGGGTATCTCTTATACAGGAAGTATCTATAACGAAGGGGGTATCTCTAACAGGAGGTATCTATAAAAAAGGAGGTATCTACAACACAGGGGGTAACTCTAATACAGGAAGTATCTATAACGAACAGGGGGTATCTCTAATACAGGAGGCATCTACAACCCGGGGTATCTCTAGTACAGAAAGTATCTATAACGAAGGGCATATCTCTAACAAAAGGTATCTATAACAAAGGAGGTATCTACAACACAGGGGTATCTACAACACATTGGGTATCTATAACATGGGAGGTATCCAAAACACAGGGGATATCTTCAACACAGGGGGTATCTACAACACAGAAGATATCTCTAATACAGAAGGCATCTACAACACAGGGGGTATATCTTATACAGGAAGTATCTATAACGATGGGGGTATCTCTCACAGGAGGTATCTATAAAAAAGGATGTATCTACAACACAGGGGGTAACTCTAATACAGGAAGTATCTATAACGAACAGGGGGTATCTCTAATACAGGAGGCATCTAAAACCCGGGGTATCTCTAGTACAGAAAGTATCTATAACGAAGGGCATATCTCTAACAAAAGGTATCTATATCAAAGGAGGTATCTACAACACAGGGGTATCTACAACACATTGGGTATCTATAACATGGGAGGTATCCAAAACACAGGGGATATCTACAACACAGGGGGTATCTACAACACAGGGGGTATCTCTAATACAGGAGGTATCTATAACGAAGGGGGTATCTCTAATACAGGAGGTATCTATAACAGAGGAGGTATCTACAACACAGGGGTATCTCTAATTCAGGAGACATCTACAACAGAGGGAGTATCTCTAATACAGGATGTACCTATAATGAAGGGGGTATCTCTAACATGAGGTATCTATAACAGGCCACAAAAACACGAAATCGCGAGAACGCGTGAATGCGACATTTCATTTTCTCGCAATCTCGCGTTCTCGTGTTCTCGCGTTTTAGACGCTGTCCGTGCGCATGCGATATTTCATAAGGTCAAGGCGGATGCGCATGTTAGTAGTCCTTTGGTAATGCTTCTTTCATTCTCTTCATTCTCCAAGTAGCATTTAGCAAAATTATGACTTGAGCTTGAAAATGCCATGTAATTTACATACACCACTTCTGAGTCATTTACATCACAGGGGTATATCCAATTCAGGAGACATCTACAACAAAGGGGATATCTCTAATACAGGTGTATCTATAATGAAGGGGGTATCTCTAACATGAGGTATCTATGGAATAATGTAAGGGACATTCTCGCGATCTCGCATTCTCGCGATCTCGACCTTTGGAAACGAGGTAAATATGCCTAAAACACGAGATTGCGAGATCGCGAGAACGCGAGATTTGGCCAAAATCTCGCGTTCTCGCGATCTCGCATTCTTGTGGTTTTGGTACATAGCACTTTTTGTCAAAAGTCGACAACGCGAGAATGCGAGATTTGGACATAAAATCTCGCAATCTCGTCTTGTCAAATTAGGCCACAAAAACACGAAATCGCGAGAACGCGTGATTGCGACATTTCATTTTCTAGCGATCTCGCGTTCTCGTGTTCTCGCGTTTTAGACGCTGTCCGTGCGCATGCGTAATATCATAAGGTCAAGGCGCATGCGCATGTTAGTAGTCCTTTGGTCATGCTTCTTTCATTCTCTTCATTCTCCAAGTAGCATTTAGCAAAATTATGACTTGAGCTTGAAAATGCCATGTAATTTACAAACACAAAGTCCTATGTGGAATATAGTTGGGTCGTCTCCCGTCGTGACACTTTCCTGTGTACTTTATATCCAAACCCTCAACATGCTCAATATAAATTAACAAAAGAAATTGTGTACATGAATGTCCAATGATAGTGAAAACATTAATGTGTCCGAAAGCTGGAAACAAAACTATCACCGTCAGTGAGTGAGTGAGTTATATTGCTTAAAGCCGCATCAGCAGTATTGCAGGTATTCGCGGCTACACTGTCAGTTACAGAAATAATCACAGGCCAGTGAGTTTCTCAATGAGGCAATTTTATACACGGCTAGAATATTCATTTAAATAAAATTCTCACAGACCAATTTGTAGCATTCGGCTAAAATGATATTGTCCGATGTTTCTTTTACACGATACCATATTCGCTACTTTAATTAATAGATTTTCATCCGCTCCCGTCTGACAACAAAACATCCTGCCTTACATTATTCTAATGCCCTCAAATTCCTAGAAAGAGAAGTATCGTTAATATGAGTGTTCCTACTTTATTCACCGGATGAAATACTCCGTACACGTAGCCCTCATGAACACACATGATGCATGTGAATAGCACCCGTCGACAGCAATTGTACACGTATGCCTTACGTAGGTCGATAAGAACAAAATAAAACGTTAAAAATAAAATGCCTCCCGTCTCCCGTGTTTTTAAAAAATCAATCAAACTGTAACTATTAATTTATTGCGGCCTTAACATCCAAATGACAGGCATGCTTATACTGGAAAAGTACCCCAAATATCCAGCCTGGGGGACCGGCATGGCTCTGAATAAGTGAGTGAGTTTGGCTTAACACCGGTTTGAACAGTATTTATATTTCAGTTATATCCCGGCTTGTCGGTTTAAAGGGGCACGAATCTTCTTCTCGGCTGTCTAACACTGCCAGCTTGGGCTCACTGTCTGCTGTGAGTCGATTTGCTCGCTGACGCAACTGAGCGTGACAAGAGACTGGGCTACCGTCTTCAAGAACACTGATTGGTTACCCGTAATCTATGAATCTCAGACAAAGGTCGCATGCATGTTAATTATTTTCTTCAGCCTAAACAAACGGACAAAAAGAACGATGGAAGCTCATCGGATGTCGTTATTTGGAAATACCCCAGATGGTCATAGTTTAATAGTTAAAAAAATGGTATCCCAGCAGTGAAAGCATTTTCGGATTTTGGATTGCGCGGATAATACGGTTGCTATCTCTTGTTGTCATAAACGTTTTCTGGCATAACCCTCCCATTGTGTCTTTGTTGCCATTCGCTTGAAGCTCAGTTAATGAACCTATTACAGGTATAGTTAGTGGTAGCACCACTCAGATTGTCCAACAAAGGTTCCCATTTGGCATGTCTTGTGTCTGGGGTAATTATTTCATCTGAATCCATGTTTGAAGTGAGGGGAAATGTATGTTCTGTGATATTCACGTG